TAAGAGTGATTATATTATTTAATCACATTTTAAATTTTTCATTTTTAATCTACTAATTAAATTTTATGAGTTTAATTTATTTATATAATTGTTTCTATAATTAAGGGATTTGAAGTAATGAACAAATTGTTTGCTATATTTTAGCATAACACTAAAATTTCCATCGATGATGGTTCATTTAATTCTATGAGTTTATTTATTTTATATAATTGTTTCTATAATTTAGGGATTCGAAGTAATGAATAAATTGTTTAAATTTAGTTATTAATGTTTATTATAGTTTTGAATTTCGAAATTGTTAGGTATGATTTTTTGGTTTAGGAAACAAAATTAATCGTGATTTGATGAATATAAACTAATGAATAAATTGTTTGCTATATATTAGGAATGTATTTTTAAGAGTGATTATATTATTTACTAAACCCAAAATTTCGTGGATGAGGGTTCATTTAATTTTATGAGTTTTCTAAAATTGTTTCTATCTAAAATTGTTTGATATAATTTAGCTAAATTTGTTTCTATTATTTTGGTTATGTAGTTTTCTTAAAAATAGATTGGTTTTGTTTTATTTTTTTTATTGTATAAACTATGATTGACTTATACAAAATGCTTCCCTTTTAATAGTATAGATAGTGTTTTTTTTTTACAACAACAACACATATAAATTCAACTCCATACAAAGTACATGAGAAACAAAAAAACAAATATTGTTTCTTCAATTATTCCTTCAATTATATCATCAAATATGCAAAGAAAAATCATAAACACTCATCAATCATTTAATTATAGTTGTATATATAGATCTTTTCTCCTTTTCACTAACTACATTTTATTAATCTCATTACCCCAAAAAAAAATTCCAAACACATGTTTTTGAATATGAAACTAAACTTGACTTTGTCTTCTTCATATAGAAAACTCCAAAAACTTTGTTTATATCTCATGTAAACAAGAACAAAACAAATGCTACCAAATTATAATAACAACAAACCCTAAGGACTTATTTTACAAATTAACAATAAACATTTACACGACACTTCTCTTTATATAATAAACTCTCTTCGTCTCTTCTCCTCTGCTCTTAAACTCTCAAACTTGTCTTTTGTTTCAAAACTTACCAAAACCATGGCATCATCATCATCACACGTCGTCGTTTTGGTCATCCTAGCTCTCATAGCTTCTTCAGCTATAGCTCAAGCTCCAGTACCAGCTCCATCAAGATCACCTCTTCCATCAACTTCACCACTTGCTCAACCACCAAGAACCTCCGCAGCACCAACTCCAACTCCTTCAACCACCGTCACATCTCCTCCACCTACCGCTACTCCCACGGCGGCTCCTACTACTCCTCCGGCTGGTTCACCACTCCCTTCCTCAGCTTCACCACCAGCTCCTCCTACTTCTTTTACTCCTGATGGTTCTCCTGTCGGTGGTCCAAGTGGATCCACTCCCGTCGATAATAAAAACGCCGCCGCCGTTGCTTCTATCTCCGCCGGTTCTTTAGCCGGATTCGTATTCGTCGCTTCTTTGTTGGTGTAATTTGGTTATATATTTTAGAATCTTTATTGAGATAGTTTTTTTCTTATATTAATGATTTATTTGTTCGTGTTTAGTTTTTGGTTTATGTATTAAGAATTTGAGTTTACCTTTAGATACTCGATTTGTGTTTTTTTCATTAGTCGCTTTTAGTAATTATTATCATCATTTGTGTTTTATTATAGTATCTTCTCTTAGAAAACACTTCGTGTTATATCGTTTGTTATAATTAATCACTATTCGCTTATGTTTTATTACGTTGTATTAAGTCTTAAACCAGTTTTGATTATTGCGTCTTGATGATGTCTTTTACGAATTCGAAATTGGTGGGGTTAATGAGTTATGACTTAAAAGGTGATTAGTGATTAGTGATTAGTGATTAGTGATTAGTGTGATGAACACTTTATAAAGATAAAAGAAGGTGATTAATGATGAGTGATGAGGTCAGCAGCGTGTGCGTGTGTAAAGGACACGTGTCGAGGTATTAAAGAACGGTGAATTTGTCGTTTTATTGGTAGTGGCGAAAAAAAAAGAACAGCTGTTTGGTCTCTGTCTGATTCTTCTTTTATTTAACACTTTTGTTGCGTTAAGATAAAATAAGATTTGGATAACTTTAAATTGAAAAAGTCTGTAATTTTGGATTAACGAGACTAATTGCGTTTACAATTTGGATTTAAAAAAATTAAAGTCATTGGGTTTGGTAAGAAAGGTAAAAGAGTAGGTGTCACGTGGGAACAGCTGTAAGAAGAATACATTATAATAATAAAGCTTTTTTTTTATTTTCTTAATTGGCTCAGCCATGTGAGAGCTTTCTTCTACGTATTTTTTATATCATCATTTTAGGTTTTTTTTTTTTTTTTACAGGTATTGTATTTGCCACTCATATTATAAGTTTTACTAAAAAAAAATATGTTAAAAAGTGTTTGAGTTTAATGCGTTTTGCTATGAAAGGTATACGATGATTCCATCGAAAAAGAGAAAAAATAAAATAAAATAAAAAGTTTGATGAAATTGTTGCTTTTAAAAAGCTGGAGAGCATTTTGTTGTATTCAATAGCTGTGAAAATTCGATTCGCATTTTGATGTTTCATTCCCTCAAAAAAATATTCCAAACTAAAACTGAATTAATAAGTTTTTTCACAAAAAAAGGAAAATCAAAATAAAAAAAATTAACAACTATTTTTCCTTCTCTCATAGACTAATTTCTTTTTCTAGACTCATGTAATTTATTTTACTTTTTATGAACTTTAGGCTTTCTTTTTTGTTTTTTTTTTTCAAAATTAGATGATTTTCTCACAAACCAATATAAATTAATTAATTTTTTATTGGTTTCAACAATTTATATTCTACTTTGTTTTTCATTAGTTAAATTGTATTTATTTAGATATTAAATAATGTTTTTTATATAAATAAATAAAAATTAAATGATTTCTTAATCTATGTGCATTTGTTCGAAGGCAGTATTGTTTTTAGCATTTGCAATTTCCAAAAATAATATTACAATACTTTAAAATTTAAGGTTTCATATATAAAAAGAATACACATTACACACACTAAAACGTTATAGGCTTATAGCAAAGAAGCAATCGAAACAAAGCAATGTTTCTCAAAGCCACATGAGGGGTTTGGTTTGTTTCTTGAGAATTGATCTCATCTCATCTACTTAAGTTTTCACTTCTAACAAAATTTAGTCTTGTAACTTCTTACTTCACCAGTTTACTAAAGGTTTGGTACTTTGTGTGTGTCCCAACCACTCTTGTTGGTCCAAAACTAAGAAGAATACAGACCTTATAAACCTCGAAAAGCTTCCTTCTTCTTTAATTCCAATACCTTCCAGAAGTAATCCTGACCGATCAATTCACAGCTTAGAGTTGATGATGATAGATACAACAGAGCCAAGAAATGATAACGATGAAGCTTTTACTACCTACTTAGTTTTCTGCAGCTGGAGTTTCTTCCTCTGCGGTTACTGTCTCGGTCTGAGATGATGGTTCCTCCTCCACTTCCTCCTCTGGTGGCTGTAACCCTTCTTTTGCTTGCAATTTGACAAACTGTTTGCTACGAGCTAATCGGATTGGTCTTCCCATGAAATCCTGTGTATGTCAATATCACAAACATTCAATTTTACCAACTAAATCAGCCCATGTGCCAAATCAACTTATTTGTAAAGCTGTTACGAAGAAAGATGCCATAGTGCTATCAGCTCTTCTGTTCTACAATTTTGGGAATAAGGTCCATATTCTCTTAAAAGTGTCTGCCTACAATAACGGCTCAGAGAAACCCATTTCTATAATTGTCTCATGGATGCGTAAAGGGTCTCAAACTAGAAATTTCGGTTTAGGGTCCTTTGGTGTCTACCCAGAAGCTCAAACCCATTAATATTGAGCTTCAACTTTGCTTTAGAACTGACGTCACTCATAAGTCTAGAATGCTATTAACTATGATTAGATTATTGTTATTATTATGTAGAATAGCTTGGATTACCTTTCCTTGGAACTCAATAATCGCTGCCTCGGCCTGTTTCTTGGTTTTGAAAGAGACAAACCCGTAACCACTCGACCTCCTCGGATTTTCATGGAATATAACTTCAGTGGACACAACGTTACCAGTGTCTGCATCAAAGAACTCCTTAAGATGCTTAGCCCTTGCTTCAAATGCTAAGTTTGCAACAAACAAATTGAATGTAGGCACTGGCGAAGGCTTCTCACGCGGCGCATATGTCTTCTTCTTTTTGGCCTTCGCATAGTCTACCTTTAACCGACGACCCTCATATTCCTAAACAACACACATTTCAATGAAAAAAACGAAGGTCAAAAGAGCAAGAACCAAAATAACAACACAGAAAATCAGATGGAGTATGTAATAATTGTGGACAACAAATGTATCTTGGGACACTGCAAGATGAAAGAGTCTAATAGCAAAACAACTTCTTCTAATGTAAAGTCAACTAAATGAGAGCACGGAGTAAGAAACAACAGAAAATCAATCAGATGAAGTACGTGTAAATTTAGCTCCATCAAAATCTATCAATTTCATGGGATGCTGCAAATTAGAAGAGTCAATTAACACAAGTCACCATGTACAGCTTCTGTTTATGTAAAGTCAGATAAATGAGACAGAACACAACACAATGAGAGAAATATCTTAATGATTCTGCACCAATTTAGAGATGGAGGAAGCAACATGAAAGAGCCTAATAAGCACATTGTACAACTTCTACTAATAATAAAGATAAATGAGACAAACACAACACTATGAGAAAAATATCTCAATGATTCTTTGCCAATTATAGAGATTGAGGAAGCAACTGTGATGTTCTTAGGCATAAATTTCAAGGATAACTGCAACATCACATAGCCTAGTAACCACAATGAACAACTTCTACTAATCACAAAGTCATATAAAATGAGACAAACACAACAAAATGAGAGAAACATCTCAACTCTAAGCCAATTTAGAGATGGAGCAAGGTTCTTACATATAAAAATCAACCAAATTAAAATACTGCAACACGAAAGAGCCTAAAAAGCACAATGTACAACTTCTACTAATCAAAAACTCAGATAAACCGAGACAAAACACAACCAAACATCTCAATGATTCTCTACCAATTCAACGATAAAGTAAGCAAGGATTACTAAGTTCTTACATATGATTCGAGAGCCTTGAGAGCTTCTGCAGCTTCTTCAGGAGAACCCATTTCAATGAAAACCAAACCTCTATTCCTTTCCTTCTTATGCATAGACATCTAAAAATCCCAAAATCAAACACGATTCCTTAACTAAAACATAAGATTCAATTCAAGCTTTCGAAAACAAGAAAACGAGAAAAATCAAAAAATCAAAACCTCAATGTCGACGACATTGCCGTACTTCTCGAACAACGATCTTATATCTTCAGGTGTAGCTGCCCATGGAACGTTCTGAGCAATCAATCTAGTTTTAGAAATCTCGTCTTCGACTTCCGGAGAAGAAGATGGAGATGATGATTCGAGGATTGGCTCTTGAGTAGTAGTAACGGAGCAGTACGAAGTAAAATTTCTCGATTTTGTTTGAACGGAGGAGCATAGCGAAGAAGTGGACCAAGAGAGAGAGTAATTGCTGAGAGAGACCTTGGAATTAGGGTTCTTCTGGTTTGATTTGTGACCTAGAATTTGGAGGGAAATGCAAGGAAGACGAAGAAGAGCCATGACTGAGAGAGAGGTTTTGTGGATAAGGAAATCGAGAAAAGCTTTACTCAGTTTTACATTTTATTTTGTGTTGAAATCAAGTACACGACGTCGTTTCGGAAAAGGGAGTTTAAACGACGTCGTTTCGGAAAAGGGAGTTTAAACGACGTCGTTTAGTTTAATCTTTATGACAATTTCATACTGTTTCTGTAGAAGCTTGTACAGTTGTACCTACTTCGGGTCCTCTGGTGTAATTCGGGTCGGGTAGAATAATTCAGGTCAGGTAACTTAGATACTCGAGTATTTCGGAATTTGATACATGTTACCAAAAATAAGTTAATTACATAACGGTTCATTCGGGTATCGTGTTTTTCGGTTGTATTTTTCTTACCGAAATGAACCAAATATTTTGGAATTTTGGTTATTTTTGTTAAATCGGATTTAATTGGGAGATTCAGTTTAATTTCAGTTAATTTTGGGTATTATATGTATTCGGTTATGTTAGATCAGTTAATTTGGTTAATTTTGGGTAATGCAGATAATTATTGGTTAGGGTGAACAGAATCGACCCAAACCAGTAACCGACTACATATAATAAATCCATCCGATTGGTTTTCTTCTCTTAATCGAAACCGAACCAAAAACCAAAAGTCTTGATTCAGTTCGGTTCAATATTTGGTTCGGGTACTATTCCAAGGACTACTTGTACCAGTTAGAAACATGATTTTCTGGTCAAATTTTGATAGCAGCCATACATGTTTTGTTAGTAGCTTTTAGAGAAGCTGACAATGTAAATCCGAATCACACATGAATAATACAGAGAATGTTTTAGTTCATGTATCAGTTGTTGTTCATCCTTGAATCTGGTGAGTTATTATGCCACACAGGGGAGAGAGGCTTCCTGCTTAGTTCTGGACTGCTGCTAAACTCAAGCTTCTTCTCGACCGGGCTGGTCATCATCTTCGGACTCTTTCTCTTGTTTGACTGTAAACATAAGAAACTCGTAAGTTATAGAATCAAAGAGAGTCCATATATAGTTGTTTTTTCTTTTTCTTTCACAGTGTTTACTTCTTTCTTTTTGTGTTAACCTTACCTTTGCAGATGCGCTGTTTCGGTTCCTGTCTGCGGAACAAAGAGGGCTGTGTTGCCTTAACAACTTACGGTTTTCTTTATCCAGCTTTCGGTTTAGTGTGCTCACAAGTTCCACCTATTTGAAAGTTTGTGGGTTAAGTGGATTGATTTGAGAACAAGAACAAGAGTGTTATCGTTTGTTAGAGTTACCTCTTGCTCGGCTTTAGCGAGATTCAGGATGATGCATTCTTTTTCCGTTTCAAATTTCTTTGCCCTTGAAATTAAAGCAAGAACCTTTTGCGTTGAAGGCTTTAAGTGATCCCACTTGCTCAACAAATTTTGGCACGATTGGTCGTGGACATTTGCCTCCAAGAAGAGACGCCCCATTAAAGTTTCATCTTTGCTTATCAGTGATCCCAAAACTGAATCAAGCAAATCTTCTTCTAACGGTGTAGTGCAGTTGTCAACCTTTTGAGAGAAATGAATATATAGACTTCTGTCAGAACACAAAGAAACTATAATATCAAGCTGAAATGATAATAGTTAAGTAACTAAAAACAATTTAAATCAGTAATAAGCCAGAAACTTGACATGGACTAGCATAGTGTCTCTTTCAAGTGTATCACTCAGATCATATCTACAATTTGAAAACTTTCTGCAAAGCAACACAACTTGGACGGACTTATAAAATCAATGAGAAGACAAGCTTCATGGACCACTTCGAGAAATTGCATTGTCAACTTAACATAGAAACCAAATGATGGATCCACCACAAGTGACAACAATAGCTACAATTTAGAAGACTTTCTGCAAAGCAACATTATATGGATGAACTAATAAGTCAATGAGACACCAAACTTCATGTACACTTATAGAAACTCCATTGTCAACTTAACACAGAACAACCAAAACGATGGATCCCCAAATGCCAAAGTCAAGAGTATTTACTTCCTAAAATTCAAACTAACACCAATGGCCAATTAAAGAGTATAGAGCATTTGAGTCAACCATTCATCAAGACCAGTCTAACCAAATGCAAAAAGCCAACTAATTTACTTAACCCTAATGGTGAATGAAAGAGAATGAAGAGTCTTACTTCACCATCTCCGATTTGACGCTTACAAATCTTAATTTCCTCAGATATTCTTCCAATTTCCTCCTCCAATTGACGAACCCTAGCTTCAGCTTCTCTAGCTCTCTCATCAGACTCATTCCCAAACTCCATCAACGCATCACGATCTTGATGATAAAGCAAACACTCCTTCTCCAATTTCTTACACTGACTCAACAAATTCCCACACTCACTAGCCAATTTCTGATTCTCATCAACAAACTTCTTCAACGCCTGAGCATTCATACTCGATTCAGACTGAGGAAAAAAAAAAATCAACACAAGTTTCAGATTCAATTAATCAAATCCACAACCAAATCTCACAAACCCAAAACGAAATACTAACCTTAACACGATCGATAACATGATCTTTCTCCTTTAATCTTGAAACGAGAGTCAGATACTGTTCGCGAAGACGACGATAGGTTTCTTCAGTTGTGTAAAGCTTCTTCTGAAGAGATTCCATGGAGATCGGAAGACCTAAGGAGTAATCAATCGTGTCTTTGATATACTCATCAACTTCTTGCGAGAGATGATGATTCATCGTTCTCGATCTCGTTTCTGCTTCATCTGATTCAATCCCCTCGCTCCTCCGCATGGTTAATTTCGAAACAAGAATTGAAAATGGAGGAAGAGAGAGAGAGAGATTTTTGCAGAAGGTTTCTAGGGTTTTGAGGATTTGAATCAGAGGAAGAAGAAGAAAGAGGAATTTGTAAAGGAGAGACAGAAGGAAGAGAATTCAAAAAAATGAGAATTAGAGAAGTTTTGTAGCCGTTACCAAAAGTTATATTGCATTGATTGATTCGAGTCTACGTGGCATGTTTTTATTGGACAGTGATTTGGCTCCTATATGAGATTGGACAATCCGGTTCACGTTTTGGTTATTGGCTCCGGTTTTGTTTATTAGGTTTTCTGATTTTTCGGTTTGGCAAATGTACATGTACAAACGTTGGTCAAATTTATTGGTTTATACAAATTTCTATTGCCGTAGTATATTACTTTGAATAAAAATTCAAAATTTGACCAATGTTTATACAAATTTAAGAAATTTAAGTAATCTCTTCAACATAGTTTACAATATATCTTAAAAGATCACATCTTGTATTTGAAATATAGATTCATATGAGGATTGTTAAAAAATAGATAATTAATTTGGAACTCATAAATTTAGGTAAGAATGATGTATTATTGATCTACAACAAAATGAAATATTAAATTAAGTGACAAAATGATTTTATTTTGGAAAAACCTTGTATTTGTCACCGATTTAATTTTATTTTTATATGGCTGACTGTCTATTTGTTTTTGTTTTTGGGTTACGTAATATGTTGTACTGGTTAGAATGTCATGACTCTGATTGGTAATTCATTTAAGAATGAAAGGAACGAAAAGATTATGATAAAAATAGAAATGAACGCTGAGGAAAAATAGAACCAATGTTTTAATAAATGGTAACCAAATAATTGTACAGGTAAAATTTTGAATAATATAAATAATTTTATAGAAATTTTATTGATAAATAAAAGTTTATAATAAATTTAGTTTAGAACTTTCATTTAAAATTTGAATACTTAATATAAGTTAAGTTTAAATATTTTATTAAAATATTGATATATATTTTAGGTTAAAACAAATTTAAAACTTCTTTAAATATTTTTTAATATAATATATAAATTCATAATATTAATATAAATTGAAAAATATGATGAATTTATATTTTATTTGAAAGATATAATAAAATTATGAAAGTATTTATATATAGAAATGTCAATGTTATCATTAAAATATTTTAAAAATATTTAATTATAGAAACACAAAAGCTAATATTTGTTTCTCATTGTTCCTCTACAATTTTGAGGAGGAACATTTTTGAACGGTTGTTCATTTTTATTTGAGGAATGAATAGAAATAATGTAGGTCCAAGATATCTGAAAATTAGAAAAATATTCTTTGTAAATGGTAACAAAAATTGAGGAATAAAGAGGAACATCACATTCTTCTTCATTCCATTTCTAAAATGTGGTCACCAGTTGGATTGGAGGCATAGTTTTTAAGATTATCTCTTGCAACGAGGATGGTGTTTTGGGGCTTGCGACCCTTTGTAGTTTTTTTTTTCTCGAAAACGTCTTTGAAATGTCTTTGCATACTAGATGTAATTCTAACAATGACATCTTGGTTTTTTGGCTATAACAAATTTGTAGTGTACTCCATTACTTATTTGTTTTTTTTACTACATACCAGAACAAAATAAAACTCATAAATACTTTAATTTTTTCCTACAAAACCTACTAACTATCTTATTTTTTTGAAATGCATAGATTTAACTAAAATAATCTACTAAATTTTTTTAAAAATGTATTAAAGGTACACAAAACAATCAAAAAAATTGGTCAAACAATATAAGTTAAAAGTAATATGTTAGGACAATAAATTTCAATTCATACCGGCTTATATATAGATTCCCATTCCTTCATGTTTGCCTTGAAATGTACATCATCAGTTCGAAAAAAGTGAAACAATGCCTAAAGGAAGTATGAAAGTAAGAAAATGGGAACAATATATGTATGTATAGCAGATGATTGTGAGTGGAAGATCTACGAAACGATAAAACTAATTTTAATCAAAAGTTTTGTGGTTAGGACTTTTGAGAATAAACATGAGTCGGAAAGTGTAGTTGTATAAAGTGAAAAATTGTTGAGATTTTCATTAATGAATTTAATTTAGAATCCTTAAAATTCATGTAATCGTTAAATTAGTGAGGAAGTCATGCTAAAGACCTCCATATGCAAAATCTAGATTCCGGCAAAAAAAAAAATGGAGTTTCATGTTTATGGACTATAAAAGTGTTGCTTGTTTGAACTCGAAACAAAGCTAAAACAATTGTAACAAAGTAGAATCTTAAAATGATTTTATTGTCTCTCCAAAGAGTGAATCCAACCTTTTTAGTAATAATTGTCTTTCAGTAAATGCTTTTCATCAATTCAACCTTTTTAGTAATAATTTTCTTCAATTAATTATTTTGTATCTCATAATGATCGTTTTTATGAATACATGAAAGAAGATACAACATAAAATAACTAACTAAAACGATTTATGTAGTGCAATAAAAAAGGTAAAAGAACAAAAAAAGTTTAATTGAAAAGCATCCAAACCAATGATAGATTCCAATATCAAAAAGGTAAAAGGAGTGTTGCTTCTAGGTTATGTTCATTATTCTCATAAGAAGCATATTTATATAAAACCAGTTGCAAATAAAACCATAAACATGTGGGATTTTTTACACTTTGTTAGGGCTCACTCAATATTCCTTAGGGCTTTAGTGCAAATAAAATTTTGGAGAATTTAGTAAAACAGTTGTAAATTGTGCTCAAAAAATATATTTTGGTATTTTTTAACTATGGATGCTTCGCGGCACTCATACTTACGGCCCAATGCCCTCAACAAGCCCTGCTTCTTGGAAGTGTATTGGGCTTGTTGTGGAGATATTATGGTACCTTCTATATTCATTTTAATTTAATTTAAACGAAGTCGTTTTATCTTAGTAAAAAAACCCTACCTTTTTTGGCTATAAATTTCATTGTCATAGCTTCCGCCTCCTCTTTGATCTGATATGATTCATGTTCTCATAAAAATCGTCATCACAATCTCCGTCATCACAATCTCTGTCATCACAGTTTCCGTCATCACAATCTCTTTTACTGGTAAGTACTTTTGGTTATTCAATCATATATTTGTTTTATTTGTTAGATGATTTAGACACTAATTTTTTCCTTTGCTTCAACTTGTTTTATTCGGATAAAAAATCTAGATCGGATAACATAAATGCGCATTGATTTTAGGTAAATTTAGGGGTGAAAACGAGTTGTGTATCACATATATGAATTCTCTATCTAAATTTTAGTCAAAAAGATTGATATATCTGAAATTTTTTTCTTGAACTAAAGATTTTTGATATGTACAAGGCTGAATTAAAAAAAAAAAAAAACCATAAACAATATTTTTAGCATTTCAAGGATAGTACGTATACTTTCAGCATGGTTTCATGAATATATATTGTTTTGATGAAAATATGTTTGGTTTTCTTGTATTATTAGTTTCTTTTTATTATTTTAGTAAAACAATTAATTTCAGCATTACCTTATTAGATATGCTACATTTTGTTTTTTGGTCAAACATTACCTTAATTTATTTTCCAAATAGAGTACTATTTCTTTAAAATTGTAGATGGTACAGTCTTGAATAGTTATCTTCTCACTGACTTCAAAGTTGATATATAACTACGTATTGGATTTTGTGTTTATTGTACATAACAACTACATATATACATTCTTGATTAATTATCTTATTTTTAGTGTATAAATTCTTTTGAAAATACTATTTTCTCCCATTTTCATATGAACCATAAGTTCTCTCCAAAAAGAAAAAAAGTCCATGCTAGCATTTAATATATATTTTCTTCTGCACACTTTAGTGAAGTTATTTCAAGATACAATTTTGATTAAATAAAATGATCTTTTGTTTCAAAAGTTTATCAAAAAAAATTTAACTGGTATTTTTATATATCCAAATACAAAATGGATAAGATCTTGCTTGTGTCACATTTTATTCTCGTAAATTAATAAATTAATACAGTTTTTGTTCAATTTTGTAGTGAGTGTGATTTGTTGTAGCTACCTCAAGAACAATGCCCGTCAAATGGTACGTTCGATATTTAAACAAGCTGAAGTATTATTCTTGATTTGTATTTTTTTTTGTATATATAGAAACTGTAACGTTAACTTCTCTTTCTTTTTTGAATCTAATGTTAAATTATATTCAAAATAAAAATAGTTCGGTGTTACAACAAGTGCTACGGTTGGTCGATAAAATCTTAGAGATCTAGAAAAGAGTTGAAAGCCTTAGTTTAGAGTTAACTTCTCTTTCAATCTTTGATATATTTTTTCCCCTAGGCTTTTGTATTGGCAACCAAGTCAAGGGTCAACACTAGGCAGCTCAATCCTAAATGAAGCTACTGAATGCATAGAGAGCCTCAATGGCGTCAAAGAAGGAGAATGGAAAGCAACTCTCAACTACTACAAACCCATCTTGAAAGATGAGTCGATTCAAACTGAGATCCCTCGCGAAATTGTAGGTATTTCGCTTGCCGAGGAGCCAAGTAAGTGCTATTTCGTCATCAGGACGAAGAGGATCATCATGGAGGCAGCTACGTCGTTTCGACAGATTCTTGAGAGGCTCGGGTCTTACCAATGCAAGCTCTCGTTTAACTTTGAAGGGTTTGAGTATAAACTTGGTGATTTTAGAATGAGACTTGCTAAAGTTGTTCCTACTCATGCCACTACCATTAGAGGCATAGTCTTGGAGGTACCAAATGTTTATAGCTTTTGAGTAATTCATTATTTTTTGGATTCTGTAAGGATTGTAACTTAATTAAGGTTATGTGTGTGTGTGTGTGTGTGTTTTAATTATTAAGGTTGAGTATCTTCCAATTTCATCAATGGAAGTGGCAAAACAAGTGAAGGAGGAGTTCTTGGAGATATGGAAAGAAGCTATGTCGAAAAAGTCGTCGAGTGGTAAGTTTGTGAACGTAGACATCAACTTTGAGATGTTTGATCTTGGAGACATTTACACTCCACAGCACACCGCTGTTCGGTATGCTTTCTTCATGGCTCGTTTGCTTTCAGCGATCTCAGCTGGGAGGTCCTAAACCAAAAAAAAGAAATCAAGATTTGTCTGAGTTTTGTTGTATTGGTGATTTTGGAGGTCAAAAACTCGTGAGATTGGAGCAGATTTTGAATTTAGTTTTTGTTTTTTGTTTTTTTAGTTTGATTTGAATTGGGATTATGAATTCTGTGTTTTTCAGTTTGACTTGAATTGCGTTTATGTTATTTTAGCACATTTTGGTTTTATGATTATAATTCTTGTTTTGTTGAGTCTTTCGGGTCGGTTTTTTCGGGTCGGTTTTTTCGGTTTTTCAAATTTTTGGTTATCTTAAAATCTTACCAAATTAACCCGAATAAAAATTCGGTTGAGGTTATTTGGTAGTCGGTTTATTTGAGTAGGTTATCTGCTCTATTTTCTATTCCGAATTAAACCAATTTTATTTCTATTTTGGTTTAAATAAACCGAATTAATACAATATACATGGAGAGAGAGGTTGTGACGGATTAGATCATTTTCAACTTTGTCCAAAAATGATGTAATTAACCCTTTTCAATTTAGAAAAGTATTTTCCTTTAAACGTAATTAATTAAGAGTAACTTTTGGAATTGAACCCAAATTTAAGCAATGCTTCTCTTTTAATATATTAGAGGATTTTAACATACTAACTTGAGATATAAAACTACAAATCAAACTATATAATTTGTAACATTCATTGATTATAATTTCAAACTTCAATGCTAAAATAAAAACAAATACTATGCAACATACAACTTATTAAAAAAATATTTATATATACATAAAATAATAAAATTGATCTCGCGGTGTACCGCGGGTTTAAACCTAGTTATGTCATAGACGGTAATGTGAATTATAAATATCATGTTTCTGTTGACATTTTCGAGTGTATTGGTTCATTTTGATCTGTTCTAGTAAACTATATATATACCTCAAACTTCATTTAGATTCTAAAATATTAATTAGCAACTAGGAAAGGTGCAAGAGTCGTTGCACTTGTTTATTACAAAACACGAAGAAGCATTACGGCGCTTAGAAATTTCCTAGAACATACGAAAGAAGACGTGAACGCCACTTCTTTCTCTCTTCTATCGCTTCCTCAGATCATTACAAATCTCAAGAAGATGTTAAAGTCCCAAACATGTCATACTTCAAAAGAAACGAAGGAACTATATTTTTCGCGTTCGCGAGCATAGGGTTCATAGTGTTTTATTGCATCAACTACTACTTCCGAAGATGTAGAGACAGGTCTTCTTCATCCGGGCACACCTCGGAAGCTGAGATGAGTCCAAGGAGGCCAGCGCGACCAGGGCTTGATGCCGAGGCCATCGAGTCGTGTCCTTCGTTTGTTTATAAGCAAGCAAGAGGGATTGAGCCAGGTATAGGTGAGTTAGAATGTGTTGTGTGTTTGAATGACTTCAAAGATGATGAGACTTTGCGTTTGGTACCACCTTGTGTACATGTCTTTCATGCTGACTGTGTAGACATTTGGCTTTCTCATAGCTCCACTTGTCCTATCTGTCGTGCTGATGTAGTTCCCTATAGCTAACATCGTCAGCTCATCTTTTGAGTCTTGTCTTTGTGTAATAATATTGGCAACGTATTATGTAAAAATTATTGGAAACGTATGTTAAATATAAAAATTAGATTACTGATGACTGATGAGAATTTTATAATTGGATCTAGCTATAACAGTTTCGCATGGATTCAATTGTTATGTTTTTCATATATCTTTAACTTTCTACCTTAGAGCATGTGCATCGGCGTATATATGCATCGTCTCACACATTACAAGATTAAAATTTAAATCATTTTGTGTTAATAAAAGAAGGAACAATGGGGACGTTTCTTAATTTGCGACGTTCTTTGCTTTGTTTCTTCACTCTTTGCGGGCTCCACTGACACGTGCCGACCCGCGATTGGTTGTCTTTTTAAAAAAAAATTAAATTATTTTTTTTCTAAAGACAATTTTTGTCCCACACCAATTCATATGGTCTTATACTTTTAGATATGAACATCTTTTTATTCATTTTCTATATATATCTGATAAATAAAAATTCTATCTACATCATCTCAATGAAATTTTAAAAAGGAGTTTTCTCAATTGGGAAAATTAATTACACATATGATTTTATATATTTAAGGAAAAGAAAGCTATCTTGGTATGTCAAAGTAAACATTCGATGACAAAAATGAACCATACTTTTTCTTAATCGCTTACTCAAATGGTAAGAACAGCTCTTGTCACCTGAAATACAAGTATAGACCTCTCATTTGAGTTCGATTTTCACTTGGAACAAAGTTATGTATATATGACACATTGTGGAAAGTTGATGTTCATCTAGATCACCCATTATCAAAAGTGGGAAAATATAACAAAATCAAAGAAATTACATGTGTATATATTAGTAATACCTAAGCGTAATACTATATACTTTGTAGAAAATTTACTTCTAATTTTCAACGTTTTCGCAAGAAAATTGTAGGTATGTTATAGGAACTTTGTCCAACCATTTCTTGTAGTAGTGACGGTTCAATAGAAGGCTTCGAATGGGAAAATAAAATAAGCAGAGCAGATCAAGTGTACAAGGCAGATTTAACAAAATAAAAGCAGATCAAGCAGATTTGGCAGTTCAAGTGCAGATCCTCCATTAAAATAGAGGTGTTTAATCTGCTCTGCTTTATAGGGAAAAAACATGACCATAAAATAATTTTTTTTTTGTCCACCTACAGAATTTTAACAGGAGAACTGCAGTTATAAATGATAATTATTTATTTTTATGAATGGTAAACAAAAAAACAGTTAATATGTCCTGCTATATTACTGCTTTATATCTGCTTCTCCATTCAAACCTTTAGTATATGTCAAGAAATCAGAATACCAATCATAACGACCATATCCTTAATTAGTCTTATTGGTCGGTCAATCACATCCTTGAGGACATAAACATTCTCTCTCTTTTGTTTTAGTCTTCCAACTTCAAATGTCTACAAGCAAAAGATTATATCAAAACTATTGGAAAAGTCTTGTTGCGTATTCGATAAGTTTGTACTTGTTCTAAAAGTCTACTGTGAACGTAAAGACTTATTCAAAAACTAAACGTTAAGAGGAAAAAGCCAGACCAATCATTCGGACCAAAACATAATCTAACTAGCTAACATATAGTAATAATACAATATTTAGTGTACTCTGAACAAATCTCATTGCTAATATACGACTTCTTCTTCTTCTTCTCTTTCTCTTGCTCTAAACGGAGACATGGAAGCTCAAGTGATCCACACGTGAGATTGCAAAAGGGTGCGCGCGGTTCATATCATGAATACCTTCCCGAGAGGTCTCATCCATCGTATGGTATCAAGTATTGTATTGACACTCTTGCTTTTGTTTTTTTTGCCTAACGTTACCTGCCAGCAAGAGTTAGAATCCGTAGACCGCAATAGAAAATCAAATTTCTCCGCGGAATCGATAATTGCAATAGTTTTGCTTGCAACGTTTATGTCATTGAGCATGGTCGCTTGTTGCTTTCACAAGCACAACACATTCTATAGTGTAGAGATTGAGACGGCAGGCCATGAAGTGTTGCATAATAGAGCGAGGCGTGGACTCGAAAAAGAAGTCATTGAGTCCTTTCCATCTTTCCTCTATTCAGAAGTTAAAGGGGTCAAGATAGGCAAAGGCGGAGTAGAATGTGCGATTTGTCTAAGTGAGTTTGAGGATCAAGAAAGACTACGTTGGTTGCCTCCTTGTAGCCACACTTTTCATGCTAATTGCATCGATGTGTGGCTCGCTTCTCGGTCCACATGTCCCGTCTGCCGTGCAAATATGTCTCTAAAATCTGGTGAGAACTTTACATATCTGAACATGGATGTTGAAGTGGGAAATGTACAAAGAGATGTTCAAGAACTCCCTGATGAGAGAAGTTTCACAGGTAGTAGTGTGACACCTAGATCGAGTTCTACGGGGTTATTATCGAGCTGGCGTATGCCTGAGATATTCTTCCCTCGATCTCATTCGACCGGACATTCATTGGTTCAACTATGTGAGAATCTAGACCGATTCACACTTCAACTACCAGAAGAGCTGCAAAGACAATTGGTTAGCTTGAATCTGGTAAGGAGAAGCCACATGAACTTACCTCAAGCCATGAGTTCGAGACAGGGCTACAGGAGCGGTTTCATTTCGGGAAGGCAAAGGCTCCAACGGGCCATATCTATGTCTCTCTCTTTCTCTATTCAACCTGCTTCTGTTCTGTCTACACATGACAGGAGTGGCAAAGTTCAAGAGACTTCTCAAGATAAGGACAACAACTTAGGTGAAAGGTCATTCGAACGCCTCATGCCAGAGAAGGTGTAAATAATGTAATAATGGTTTTGGTAAGTCATGCGTGCCACAGCTTGGTTTAAAGATTAACTGGTTCCAGTGTTCCCTCAAAGTCTGTAACATATATAGAGTAATAAGCCTACTCATATCAAATGTTCCATCTGCGATGTTGTACAGTTTTCCGATTAGCATCATTCGAATATCTTGTACAGTAGAATGAATGTAATTAACATATTTTTGAGATTTGATTATTTCTAACATATTACTTAAAGTTTTTGACTTAATTTATTATAATATGTGACGCTCCATCTTGCAATTAGAGACTTAGGCTTTGAATGGGTGTGCAGTACAATAGCAGTTAATCTGCTAAAGCAGAATATCTGCTTTTATGATCTCATTCAAACAAAAAAAAGTATTTAGCAGATAAACTACTTTTGAACTGCATTTACTGCTTTTAAAAAAAAACGAAAATATTTTTTTTTCTTCATGTTTTTCTCTAATAAGCAGAGCAGTTCACCCACACCTATGTAGGAGTGTATATGGTGAGTTATATTTATATTTTAATTTAATTTTAATTTATCTAAATATACATAAAAATATTTTGAACCATTCGAACAGATTGATCTGCATTTGTTCTGCTTGATCTGCTTGATCCGCTTTTGTTTTGTTTGATCTGCATGATATGCTTGATCTGCTCTGCTTGATACGCTATCCCCATTCGAAGCCTTAAGGCCATGTACATCGGTAAGGACTTTTTTTGTCCCAAATTTTTTTTTTTTTTTCTTTTTTAGATTTACAAAAAAAAAATAAGGAACCAGTCGCGGGCCGCCACGTGTCTGTGGGGCCCGCGAATAGTGTAGTACCAAAACAGAGGACATCGCAATTTTGTTAACGTCACTCTTATTTTTAATGTTTTTGATTTTTCTTTTTGCATAAATGTGGGGGACCGGGCATAATACCTCTAATGCCCATGCTCTAATAACCTTCACAAAAGTCCCATTTGAAACCATGAAGGCTGGTGACTTCAAGAACAATCTCATAAATGTCTTAGATTGACTACTCACGTTGTGACAATGAAATATTCAGCATCTGGTATAAGGTCTTGGTCAGGATTTTTCCCCTCCAAAAGTTCAACTTATAATTAGATGCTTCATCCTTTTCAAATACATTGAACCAAAAAAAAAAAAAAAAGTGAAAACATTAGTCACTAGAGGAGGTTATACCTAAATCTAGCTTTTCATTAATGCTCCCACTTCTGAGTATAAGACTTAATGAGTCATTGCACTTGTTTAAAGCTTAACACGGTGGAGCATAGAATTTACCTAGAACCTTTGAAGAAGACGTGAACGTCACTTCTCTCTCTGATCTATGTCTCCCAATTACAAAGCGAGAAAAAAAAAGTTGAAATTTGCACATATTCCATATACTTCAAAAGAAATGAGAGAATAAATAATTGTGTTTGCGTTTTAGGAGCATCGCATTCATAGCATTTTACTACCTCAAATTACAGTTTTCAATTATCTACAAGTAGAGATTAGGTCAAAAATTCTTGGAATAGTCTTGTTGCGTAATTAACAAGTTAATAGAAAAGCACAAGTGATAGTGGAAAAGCACTTGTTCTACAACTACATACGGTAACATAAAGCCTTCTTCAAAGTCAAAACATAAAAGGAAAAGGCCAAACTAATCATTTGGACCAAAACATAATTTGTATATAACAACTTCTTTTTCTTCTCTCTCTGTCGCTCATAGCAAAGACTTGGAACTCAAACCTCTCACATCATGACTATCTTCACGAGCGATCACATCCATAGGATTGTATTATTTGTTCCGTTGTCGCTATTCTTTTTACAATGCTTGCCTTGTGTAAGCAAGATTGGGATTTCACAGGCCACTACAAGAAAAAAGCTTAGAACTGACGGGTAAATCCGTCTGTAATCCGTCGGAAACAGTTGTAATCAACGGATTATCGACGGATCTGTCCTTCGGTAAAAAAAAATCCGTCGGGAAATCATCGGTAACTGACGGGTAAATCCGTCTGTAATCCGTCGGAAACAGTTGTAATCAACGGATTATCGACGGATCTGTCCTTCGGTAAAAAAAAATCCGTCGGGAAATCATCGGTAACTACTGACAAATTACCGACGGACAATTGACTGACGGATTTCTGACGAAAAACAATATCAGTATTCCGTTGGTAATCCGTCGGTGACATGTTTTCCGTCAGAATTCCGATGAAAACTCAAGGCCAAAAAAATCCAGACCAATCAGAGAGAGACGAGTGGACTTGTACTTGTCTAAAAGTCTACCGTAAACTTATAAGACATATTCAAAACACAAAACGTTTAAGAGGAAAAAGCCAGACCAATCATACGGACCAAAAACAAAATCTAACTAGTATAGTAGTAATACAATATATAGTGTCCTGATCATGAACAGATCTTATTGCTCTACGTCTTCTTCTTTTCTTTCTCTTGCTCAAATCAAAGACATGGAGCTCAAGTGATCCACCCGTGAGTTTGCAAAAAGAGTGCATGGTCTCATATCATGAATACCTTCCGTATCCATGGGACTGTAGCAAGTATTTTATTTTCACTCATCATTTTCCATTTTTTGCCTTACGTTACATGCCAGCAGGCGCTAGAGTATGTATCCCCATATCCTTATAAAACAAGAAAATTCGATACCGAATCGATAATTGTAATCGTTTTGGTTGTAACGTTTATGTCATTGATCATGGTCTTCGCTTGTTGCTGTAACAACACATCATCTAGTGCAGAGATTGATGCGGCAAGCCTGTTGAACAATAGAGCGATGCGTGGGCTCGAGAAGGAAGTCATCGAGTCTTTTCCATCTTTCCTGTATTCAGAAGTTAAAAGGGTCAAGATAGGCAAAGGCGGAGTAGAATGCGCGATTTGTCTAAGTGATTTCGAGGATCAAGAAAGACTACGTTGGTTGCCTCCTTGTAGCCACACTTTTCATGCTAATTGCATCGATGTGTGGCTCTCTTCTCGGTCCACATGTCCGGTCTGTCGTGCAATTCTGTCTTTAGAACAGGGTGAGAACTCTACATATCCGAGCATGGATGTTGAAGAAGGAAATGCACAGAGAGGATTTCAAGAACCCTCTAATGAGAGAAGTTCCCAAGGTAATAGTAATGCAAATTATATAACACCTCGATCGAGTTCTACGGGGTTAGTATCGAGCTGGCGTATGCCTGAGATATTCTTCCCTCGATCTCATTCGACCGGACATTCATTGGTTCAACTATGTGAGAATCTTGAAAGATTCACACTTCAACTACCGGAAGAGGTGCAAAGACAATTTATTAGCTTGAATCTGGTAAGGAAAAGCCACATGGCCTTGCCTCAAGCCATGAGTTCAAGACAGAGGTATAGAAGCGGGAGCGAGAGAGGTGGTTTCTCTTCGGGAAGGCAAAGGATCCATCGGGATCTTTCTTTTTCTTTTCAAGCTGCTTCTGTTCAGATAACACATGAGAGGAATGATCAAGTGGTAGAGACTTCCCAAGACAAGGACAACAACTTAGGTGAAAGGTCGTTCGAACGCCTCATGCCAGAGAAGGTGTAATCTATGTAAACTTTTGTCGTAATAATGGTTTTGGTCAGTCATGCGTGCCACAGCTTGGGTTTAAACAATTAAACATTAACTGGTTCTAGTGTTCATTCAAACTCTCTGTGACATATTTAGCTTAGCATCTTTCGAATATCTTGTATAGTTTTTCAAGGTATGCTGACTAGAATGTAAATTAATGTCTTTGTAGATTTGATTATTTCTGACGAATCAAGAGTTTTTTTTTTTTACTTGAGTAATGTAATATGTGACGCTCCATCTTGCAATTAGAGACTTTTAGTAACCTATAAAAAAAAACCATGGAGGCTGGTTACTTCAACAACACGGAAACAACATGTGTTGGGTTGTTGACCCTGCAATGTATATAATCAAATACAGAGAAGGTTACATACCTAAATCTAGTTTTCCATTAAAGCTCATATACTTCAAAAGAAATGAAAGAATAAATAATTATGTTTGCGTTTGGGAGCATCGCAGATTCATAGCATTTTACTGCCTCAAATTACAGTTTTCAATTGTCTACAAGTAGGGATTAGGTCAAACTTCTTGGAACAGTCTTGTTGCGTAATTAACAAGTTAATAGAGAGGCATAAGTGATAGTTACATAAAGACTTCTTCAAAGTCAAAACATAGAATTGGAAAAGGCCAAATCAATCATTTGGATCAAAACATAATTTGTATATAACAACTTAGTTTTTTTTGTCTCTTTCTCTCGCTCATAGCAAAGACTTGGAACTCAAGCTGTTCACATATCATGACTATCTTCACAAAAGATCACATCCATAGGATTGTATTATGTGTTTTCTTGTCGCTCTTCTTCTTACAATGCTTGCCTCGCGTAACCTGCCAGCAAGATTGGGATTTCACAGACGACAGTACTAATAAAGAAAAACATTTCTCTACCGGAACAACGGTTGCAATAATCTTACTTGGAATGTTTGTGACCATTTTAATCTCTTGTGGCTCGTTATATGCATTATTTGCATACAATTTTCGTAGATTGATCGCAGAGGTAGGCCGTGAAGATTTGCACAGCGGAGCAACCACTGGTGTCGCGAAAGAAGTAATCGAGTCATTTCCATCTTTTATCTATTCAGATGTTAAAGAAATAGGTGGAGTGGAATGTGCAGTTTGTTTACAGGAGTTTGAGGATGAAGAAAAGCTACGTTGGATGCCTCCTTGTAGCCATACTTTCCATGCTAATTGCATTGATGTATGGCTCTCTTCTCGGACAACATGTCCAGTATACCGCGCAAATCTGTCTCTGAAACCGGACGAGAGTTTTCCATATCTAAGCATTGATCTTGAAAGAGGAAATGTACGAAGAGGTGTTGGAGAATCCTCCAACGAGATAAGCTTGACAGATGGTAGTAAGTCATGGACTAACCATGCAAATTATAGAACAACTAGATCAAGATCTACAGGGTCACTATCGAGCTTGCACATGGCTCCTGATTCATCGGTTGAACGAGGTAAGAATCTAAACCGGTTTACTCTACAGCTACCGGAGGAGGTGCAAAGACACTTGGTCTTACCTCGAGCTATGAGTTCGAGACAGGACTACAGGAGAGAGTGTGATGGAAGCGAGATAAGCGGTTTCTCTCAAGGAAAACAAACACTTCGACATGTCATGTCTAAGTCTCTCTCTTTCACTTTTCAAGAAGCTTCTGTTCGGTCCACAACTGGTAGGGACGATCTAGTGCTAGAGACTTCCCAAGTCAAGGACAAAGATATATGTGAACAGTCGTTTCAACGCCTCATGCCAGAGAAGGTGTAAACATGTGTGTTGATGTAGTTCCTAATTGTGTCTCTTATCCTTTGACTTTTCATTGTCTGTTCCATGCTTACCTTTGTGAATACAATTATATTGTTTCGGTTTAGTCTTCTTTATTTCAGTTGACTTCAAGTAGGATTAGGTAAAATACTGTCGGATAAAGTCTTGTTGCGTAGTCAACAAGTTAATACAGAGGGCATGAGTGAGGCTTGTACTTGTTCTACGTCAACGAAGAATATAAAGACTATTTCAAAAGTCAAAACATTAGAGGAAAATAGCTAAACCAATCATTCGGACCAAAACAAATCCAACATTGTTGTCGTGACGGGCAGATCTTGTTGATCTACCAATCAGATTTGTACTGTATAATGAACGACTTCTTCTGTTCGATCTCTCTATACACAGAGCTCAAGTGATCCACCATGTTATTAGTAGAAAAGTTCTTCATATCATGGTTATCTTCAGGAGAGATCTAAGCCATCGGATTGTATTGTGTGTTTTATTGCTGCTCTTCTCTTTCCAATTTCTTTCTTGTGTAACTTGCCAGCAAGAGTCGGAATTAGCAGGTCGCAATGGTAAAACCAAAGTCACGGTGGAATCGGTAATAGGAATCGTTTTGCTTTCGATGTTCCTCTTAAGTATGGTCGTTTGTTGCTTGCACTATGGATTCTTTAGTGAAGAGAATGAGACGGGAGGCCATGAAGTATTGAACAGTATAGTGAGGCGTGGGCTTGAAAAGGATGTCATTGAGTCCTTTCCGGCTTTTCTCTATTCAGAGGTTAAAGGGCTCAAGGTAGGCAAAGGCGGAGTTGAATGTGCAATTTGTCTAAGCGAGTTTGAGGATGTAGAGATGCTACGATGGATGCCTCCTTGTAGCCACACTTTCCATGCTAATTGCATCGATGTGTGGCTCTCTTCTCGGTCCACATGTCCGGTTTGCCGTGCAAATTTGTCTCTAAAATCCAGTCAGAGCTTTCCATATCCGAGCATGGATGTTGAAATGGGAAATGCACAGAGAAGTGTTGAAGAATCCCCCAATGAGATAAGCATGACAAATAGAGTGACAGGGATTAATAACGCAAATTATGGAACACCTCGATCAAGATCCACAGGGTTATTGTCGAGCTGGCGTGTGGTTGAGATATTTTTCCCTAGATCTCATTCGACCGGACATTCACTGATTCAACTAAGTGAGAATCTAGATCGGTTTACACTGCAGTTACCGGAGGAGGTACAAAGAGAATTGGTTAGCCTGAATCTGATAAAGAGAGGCCATGTAGCCTTACCTCAAGCCAGGAGTTCTAGGCAGGGCTACAGGAGTGGGAGTGTTGGGAGCCAGAGAACTGGTTTCTCACAAGGACGGCAAACACTCAGGCGGGCCATATCCACGTCCCTCTCTTTCTCCTTCCAAGCTGCTCCTATTCAGTCAACACTTCGCAGGGACAATGTAATGCGAGAGACTTCCCAAGCTAATGACAAAGATTTTGGAGAACGGTCGTTCCAGCGCCTCATACCAGAGAAAGTCTAAATCTATTTACATAAGTCACAGAAAAAGGTTGAGTACGATGATAATGGTTTCAGTCAGTCATGTGTGCCACAGTTTGGTTAAACCATAAACTGGTTCCAGTTTTCATTTGAAGTCTAGAAACATAGTTAGAGCAAATGGAAGCCTACTCATATCAAAAGTTCCATCTGCAGTCAACGGTTTCTGTTAACATCGTTCAAATATCTTGTACAGCTTTTCAAGGGATGCTACCTGTGGAAGAGTAAAAAGAATGTAATTAGTGTCTTTGTGAGATTTGATTTCCAGAAAACAGTTTTTTACTTAATGTAACATGTGAAGCTCCATCTGGTAATTAGAGAGAAAAGTAACCTTCACAAAAGTCCCATTTGAAGACATGGAGGCTGGTGGCTTCAAGAACAATCTCATAGACGGAAAGAGCACGTGTTGGATAGACCATTCACGTTGTGCCCAAGCGTTTTCAGCATCTGAAAGAAGGTCTTGATCAAGATTCTCCTCCATCTCAACATCACCCCCTGCAACAGTTCAATGTTTAGATACCTCATCCTTTTCACATAGTGAAACCAAAAGAGAAAACATTGGTCACTAGAGAAAGTTACATACCTGAATCTGTCTTATTCTGAGAGCTCTCACTTCTTTTAGTATAGAACTGAATACCGTCACCTGATGGGTTTGGCAAAAGAGGAGGATGCATCGCGTAAAAGTTCCCAATAGCTGCAGAAACTCCTTGAAAGCAAGCCTTCTCATCTTCCCACTCAACCTGAACAGTACGTTAGGTTTACATTAGAACCCACTGTTCCTCTGATCAGTAATACTTCAGTAGGAGCAAAATAGCAGATATTAAATGTACAAATAATATTAGCAGAACTCACATCATTTCCCAAGCATAGTAAAAATTCGGGCACACGATCCATGTCAGGTGTATACTGGTCGAGTATGACAGGAAGCCGTGACAATTTTCCATTGGAGTCAATGTGAACGCTGAAATACTCCTCTAACATTTCCGCTTTTTCCTTCAGAAGATTTGTATTCATCTATAAAATGAAACAAGTTAACCAAATCCATATGCAACATTACAGCTTCAGGAACTTGTTACTGTTGATGATGATACATGCTGGACTGAAGGAATAGTTTGTACAAAACCAGTAGCAAAAAGCAGAACTTACTTCAGCGATTCTTTCTTTCAGATCATCATCTTTCTCATTTCCTAGATCCAGATCATCCTCTTTCAGAGCCAACAATATCAACTCTGTTAAAGGGGCCGGATCGCTAAGCTGTATTGCATTAAAATGAGCAAAACGACGCAGAGTTTGCTGATACATGAGCTCTTTGCTGCAAATACAATAAACAGCATACAATATGAGGTTTTTTTTGTTACGTACAGCTAAACCCGTCAAGTACAATTTAGATAGATTTTTCATATTGATACAGTAGACTATCCTCCACCAAAACATGTAATCTCAAGAATAATACCTGAGGTTCACCACATTTGCTAGATATAGATGCGTGTTATACTGAACTAAAGCAAAAACATCATCTGCCATTCCAACATATGTGCAATTCCTTACAGTCTCCAGCAGACCTAGCAAACAATAATTTCAGCATAAGCCGGAAGATTGGTTGAGACTTATGTTCAGAAGAATAACAATGCAGAGAAAGGTACCCGGATGGCAGCAGCTGTCAACTCCAGCAATAAGTTCCTGGACACTTGAAAGATCAGCAGTTTCCTTCGGGTTTCTTCTTTGCCTTATAGAAGACCTGCAAGTCCAGTAACAATATCAAGTGGAATATAATGACGCGTAAAACATATAACCAGTAAAAGAATATCATGACAAAGAAACACTGGCAGGAAACATTTTCAAGAAAATCAAAGGAGTGCAAAACTTTGGTAAATAGGACAATATTTTTGAAGAGTGAGGAAACAGGATACGATTTGTTATTATGAAACTATATATATCTTGTATCAGGTGGGGTCTTACCTTACTACACTCAAACTAGAAACCTTGTCAGGAAGATTTTGGGACTTGGGTTGCAAAAAGGCATGTAACCTTCCAGCTGGATCTGATGAATCCGTTCTCACCATTTTATTCACAGGAATTTTCTGTGTTTTTTGTCCTAGTAAATGAGAAGACCACAAGGTTTCTTATGAAGAGGAAAAGGAAAAAAAGCACGCCACAGGAAATGTTGGTAGACTACAAAAAGCCAAATGATACAATACCAGAAAGCAACGGAGAAACTGGAGGATCACTTCTTAAGGATGTTAACGTAGATTGGATGTATTCCACTTTCTGTAGCACGAAAACAACAAAAGGAAACTTATGATTAATAAATCAACGTTTGAACCTGCAATGAAAAAATATTGCTTTTTTTTTTCAAGCCTACCTGCTCTTGAAATGTCCTAGTATCATTTGCGTTTCTCAGTTTTAATTCAACCTCTGACTGAATCATCTCAATAATGATTTCCTGGTTTAGAAGGCTAACCTGCAGGGTAGACCAAAACATCTATTATTTGATGTATAAATAAGGAATATAGTTTTCATGCAAGAGAAGCAACAATTACACAATCTTCTTATAGAAATAGACCTACATACATGAATTTGGAGCAGCTACTATGCCTCAAAACTAGCGTAAAAGGAGGAGAGCACTTACCTCTTTCTTTGTTGGGTGAATATTGATATCAACATGTTCCCGTGGCAAATTGATAGACATGTAGAGAAAAGGTTTCGATGCTTTTGGTAATGTTGCAGCATAAACAATCTCAATGGCTCTTTTTAACGCAGAGCATTCCACCAATCTATCTGCCGTAATCAATAAAGTAAATCTCACATATGAAGCTAGTGATAAATCAGATACAAATTTTCATTCTCTAAAGGAAAGAAAATCCTCACCATTAATGAAAAGAACCAATATGGTTTTTTTAGCAACATAGTTTGAATTGGATATGAAACCCTCCATGTCAAAAGTACAACCAGAGGGGTCAGATGAAGAGACTTCAACTTTCATCAAGTTCTTTGCAACTGATACCCCATAAACAGACCTAATTGAATCAATCCTTGAAGGCGACACAACTGAGTGAACATCAGCCTTAACAGCTCCATGCTGGTGAGAAATCATCATACAGAAATTGAATCATCCACTTCACAATCCCAAAATACCAAAAAGAGTTGCTTTCCCAAAGAAGTAGACTAGTTTATATAGAAAGTATACCAACCTTTCGACAAGAAAAACTGACATTATTGTGATGAATAGCCATCCGGCTCAGCAAGTCTACTATTTTTCCATAATCATCAGAAGAATTTTGAAGCGTCTTCCTTCTAGCAATAATATTGTAAAACAAATTCTCCACCTAATAACACAGAATTCAAAGACATAAACATGAAAAGTCACTCGCTAAATTCACTTCCCCAACTCTCTGCTCAACGAATTCAATACCAAAAATTTCAAAACTGAACTGAGAACTAACCATTATCTGTGTCCCTTTGACAGCAGCACACGCCTTTGGTTCATGCTCCATGACACCATCTCTATAAGACACTCTGAACAATAATTGCAGATACAATATAACACTGGTTGAGCAGAACAAAACATAAATTACACAAATCACTGTTACAAACCTGTAACCATGAATCTGGCCTTTAGTAATTGTGGTTACAGTAACATGAGCTACATAAGTCATACTAGCCAATGCCTCTCCTCTAAATCCCATTGAACTCAAAGAGAACAAATCCTCATACTTAGTCAGCTTCGAAGTCGTATGTCTCTCACATAGTATCGGCAAATCTTCACGCTAAACAACAAGAACACAAACTAATCATCACCAAAAATTCCCAATTTTGAAATTAAAATGAGAGTGTGTAGAATCGTACTCTAACACCGTGACCATCGTCGGAGACTTGAATTAGCTTCAAGCCACCGTCCTTAACAACGACGTTTATGGAACTTGAATCGGCGTCGAGGCTGTTCTCAACGAGCTCCTTCACCGCTGAAACTGGACGTTGTATTACTTCACCAGCTGCGATACGGTTGACCACTGACTCTTCTAATCGTTGAATCTTCGGTGGTTCTCTCGGTACATTCGCCGTCGCCGGAGATGCTTCCTCCTCCATCTCCACCGTATAAGACGAACCCTCGTCGATCATCTCCTCCGCCGAAAATTAAACCTCGCGCCAGATACAAAATTGGGTTCCGCTTAAGTTTGGGCCTCTAACCCAATTATTAAAAGCCCACTAATTAAAACGACGTCGTTTCTTTTCCCCTAACCTAATCTTTTTAATAAGTTTCCCTTGGCCGCAAGAAACCATTTTGGTTGTGAATGACGACGATGATGATCTCTAATCTTCCTAGGGATTTGCTAGAGGAGATTATTTCTAGGGTTCCTTTCAAATCTATGAAAGCAGTGAGATTAACATGCAAAACTTGGAAAACTCTAGCCAAAAGTAAAGTAACAACACCAACAAGAGAAGGAGAGACTATGACGATCATGGTGTTGCCTCAGAAACTTTATCTAATGAGCAGCGTTGTCGACTTTGATGCATCTATACAGATTCAAGGTCAGATCAGTTTCCTTGAAAAACAAGTTACTATATCTAGAATTCGTCACTATGAGGGTTTGTTGTTATGCATCTTGAAAGACAAAACTAGGGTTGTGGTTTGGAATCCTTATTGGGGGCAAACAAGGTGGATCAACCTCCGATATTCGCATAGTCCACACGGACATGATAGGTTTAGTTATGCTCTCGGATACGAAGATAAGGAATCTTGTCGTAGCTTTAAACTGTTGAGGTTTCTAGATTATTTCTATCATGCAGATGGTTTTTTTTGGTATGAAATCTACGATTTTGACTCTGGTTTATGGACAACTCTTGATGTTACTCCATATTGGGGTATATATTGTTCTTCCGGCAGTGTTTCTATTAAAGGAAAGGCTTACTGGAATGCTAAAAAAAGGAGCTTAAAAAGTCGAACTGATTACATAATCTGTTTTGATTTTACAAGAGAGAGATTTGGGCCGCTTTTGCCTATGCCGTCTAGTGTTAAGGATAGATACATATATGTGACTTTATCTTGTGTTAAAGAAGAGAATATTGCAGCTTTATTTCAGCACCACGAACCATATGACTATGAGTTTGAGATATGGATTACGACTAAGATCGAGGTCGAAATGGTGTCGTGGATCAAGTTCTTGAGAATGGATAGGAGTCCTAAGATAGGTCGTCCATATAGTTTATTCATTGACGTGGAGAAGAAAGTCTTTATGAGTTCCTGTCGAAAATGTCTCAATGAAAATGATTCTTATTATCCTGTCAAAACATCTATTAGCATCATTGGAGAGGCTGGATACTTGAAAAATTTCGATGTTGGAGAACATTTAGACATACACTGTAATCAAGATGATATCGTTTGTGTTCCGTATGTTCCAAGTTTGGTCCAAATCAAGAAACATGCACGAGGCAATAGGATAGAACAAATTAGTTTAGAAAATCGTCGGTTTGATCAAAACAAGTTGAGACTTACCTCACTTGAAAAGTCTAGGAGCAAGATGATATATGGATAAGTATATATAGGAGGAAGCGCAAAAGAAGAAACAAGTAATTTTCTTGTATTTTAGAAATTTTTACTAGACGTGACGTTAAGCTTATGGTGATCATTACACTTGTGGTTTGCAGGAGCGGAACATTGAAAGAGTTCGAGTATTGGAAACGCTTAAGGATGCTATTGGAACCATGTGAGACTTCTTGCATTGTGATTGCCCTACCTTGCGTAATAAAGGATGTTGTTGGTATTGTTCGGTTTCTTTGTTTCTGTTTTGTCTTTTTAAAAATTATGTTTTTGGGTTGAGAATGATTGAACTTGCTTGTGACCACGAAAAAAAAAACAGAAATGGTGTTTTGTTACAAGTCATTTCATGTACAGTAAAACCTCAATTAATAATGTTGGGACCATGAAAATCTATTAATTTATAGAGGTTTTAATTTATCGATAAATTAATAAATAATTTATTAATTTATAGAGAGATTTTCCTAATTTGAAAAGATTTTTCAAAAAAATATTTTACAATAAGATTTAAACATGATAAATAGTATTTTATATAATCAATTACAAAGAAAATAATTATTATTATGTCTTGAAAGAGAATGTTAACAATTTTTGATATAGTAAAATATTAGAAATAAATTCTAGCAAAAACTAATGTGTCTATATATATATATATATTTTGAAAACTGTACCTAATTATTAATTTATAATATTGATATGATCATATATTTACAAAGGATTTTCAAAAAAAATATTATCTTATTATTTTATCTAAATGTATCGAAAATTACACTAGTCCCAACTTGGGACCGTATAAATTTATTTATGGAGGAGAAGTTGGTGTTTGCTTGACTTCAATCAAATGTGGTTTCAATAGTAAAAAAGTGAATTGCACAAGCCTAACGACTTTATAATTGGGCTTTCAATCTCATTCAAAAGCCCATATGTTAAACGACGTCGTTTTATAAATAGTTCTTCTTCTTTCAAAAAGATGGACTTGAATCTCTTGTGCTCTTTGACCATAATTTATATACTTGCCTACCCTTGTATGTTCTAAGTACCACTTGACTTATATTGACTAAATAAAAGACAAATTTTGCCCTTCCTTATTGATTGATTTAATTAAATAAAAAAGGAAAAAGAAAATGGATGCGGACCCCACTACACCACCATCTTCTCTCTTCTTCATCTCCATCCACGATCTTCATCTTCAACCACGATCGAGGGCGAGCTCCTCCTCCGTTTAACTCCATCGTCTCTCTCATCAACACGAGAAGCAACCCAACAACTGAGGTACTTATTCATATCCATTGTTAAATTCAAAACTCGTTGGCATGAAGTGGAGTTGTTGTGGATTGTATTTGTTCCCTATTGAACTATTAACATTGTAGATTTGGATTTGATCCGATTTTTCTTATCCTCATTGTCAATTAGGGATATGAGTCGAATTGGGTCGACTATTTTTCATAATGTGTGCATTGTAACAGTTCAATCGAATTGAATCGTAGGAATGTATTCGAAAATCAGTAGTATGCGTTGTAGTACAACTGGTAGAACTTGGTATAACTATTTGGGCACAACTTGGTATAACTATAATGATAAAACTTGTAGTACAAATGGTACTCTTTGGTATAACTTGGTATAACTATGAACACGACATAGATTATAATGTTAGTTATCCTATTCTATTTCAAGCCACAATGAATAAAAACCATCGAAAAATCATAATATATGATTATGGGGGATATTATGCAACAAGAGAAAATGAACCAAGATGGAATTCAAGAGATAAAGTTCATCAATTTCTTAGAATGGAGACAGATTCTGCAGTGGAGAACATGCACGCAGGAAGAAGAAATCTACCATCGCAAGCTGGTTTGAGAGTCAGGGTTCCCGAAGTTGATTGATTGTATTTTGATGTAATATCCTATTTGAACAGTTAGGTACAACTTGTTTTTGTTATGGTACAACTTGAATAATTTGAATTTGATTTTCGGACTTTCTTAAGTCAACTTGTTTTAATGATATTTAAATTGATATATATTTTTAAATAAAAATCTATATTCTTATATTTAAAAATATTTAAATAATCGAAAATAAGGATTTATTTTAAATAATCAAATAATCAGGATTTATTTGAATTTTTAATAAACATGAATTGAAATTAAATATAGAAAACTTAATAAATATAAATATGAACTGAATTATACTTTCATCATATTATCCAATATATATAAAAAAAATAAGGAATCATGATTTTTATTATTATATTTCACTACACATATCATCATATTCTAAGTTTATCAAGAAATACCTTACACATTAAGGGTCACTTTCTCATTGCAAACAACATATAATTAGAAAAGCTAAGAAACAAATGTTTTCAAAAATATTTATGCATGTACATGTGGTATATGTACCTCAATTAATTAAAATCATGTGTACAACTAAAAATATTTTTTTTTAAACATTGTATAACTAATTAAAACAAAAAAAATAAAAAAGTACAACTTGGCAAAACGAGTACAACTTGTAACTTTGGTACAACTAGTGCATTTTGGCGGCTACACGTGTCTAATGTGGATCACGTGTTTGTTGTTTGGTCCTTTTATTTTTATTTTTTTCCTACACTTAAGAATTTTTAAAAAATTCAATTTCAAATTGAAATTGAAAGAGGGAATCGGGAATCGGGTATAGCTAGGATTTACTGTCCTTTGACTCTTTTCACTTCTTCTCCTTCTTTCTTTTTGGGTTGGTGCGATTTCGTCTTTTATTTTGGGTTTGCTATTTATGAGAATGAGCTGCGAATTTGGAGCATCGGGAATCTTATGTGGGATTTCTGTGGTTCTCTTTTTGTGATAGGGCTGGGAATATCGTACAATAAAGTGTAACTTGTTCTTCGTAGTACAAGTAAGTATAACTTGTTCTTCGTAATGGTACAACTAAGTATAACTTTTTTTTCGTAATTGTACAACTTTTTCTTATCGTACGATATGATTGTAATTTTCCCTATTGGCTTAACTTTGTTGGCAATTTGAAGTTAATTCGTGTATTTAAATTGTATTGTATTGTTGTAAATCTTGTATTCTGTAATAGTACAACTCGTATCTAGTTATACCAAGTTGATCTTTTCAATGCAGTTGTACCTAGTTTACCTATAAATGGACTCAAAAACTTAACAAACAACATTAAGCTAAACCAGAATAGTTCAAAGACACACCAATCCAAAAAAAAACACAACAAACCACAAACATATCTAAAGAGTTCACATATAATATGATTCAAAAACACAACATAAAATAAATCAATTTCTTAGTGAAAATAAACTAGCTATGCCGAGTTCGCACAAGTTGTACTATTCTATCCAAGTTGTACATATCGTTGAATCCCCAGAATTTGATTTCGGATTTGAATCTGTTTCTTCATAATCATCTCCACGAGTCCTATTTTCTTCTACGATTGCATCTGTTGCCTTTTCGATTTCACCTACTAGATCTGATTCTTTGTTAAAGCTTGTGTTCTTTGTACGCACCATTCTCTTATCCTTCACACAAAATAAATAACCGCAAATTAACAACAAACTTGAGTAATAAACAAAATCAACAACCCCAAATTAGATTAACAAATCGAAAACACCTAAATCGACAACATCCAAGCGGATCTAACATAAAATAGCCAAAGAATCATTGATTTTGACTTACCCAGAATCAAGTTGTCCTTAGTTGTACTCGACGAACTGCTTGTGATTTTTGGATTTTTCAAACACTTAGGATTTGAGAGTTTTATGATTTTTCAATCGATGAAGAAGACAAGAAGGGTGAAATATCCGATGGATATCCAAAAGTGAAATGGGTTTTCGGATTTTATGTGGTTGGATCTGTAATTTTTAGGTTTTAGTAAGGATGGGTAGGTATTTACACCTATTTTCGATTTTTTTAAATAAATAAATTATTTTTTCCCCTGGTCAAACCCTTATTAGAATAAGGATATAGGTCAAAGGGCATAAAAGATGAATAAGGATATAGGTCAAAGGGCATCAAAGGGCATCAAAGATGGTCCCAAAAAGATGGATATTTCTGGAAAATTCCACATATTACGGGTCCAATTGGGAAAAATAAAGAAACGCGTATCTTCTTCTTCTCTTCATCTTCTTCATCAAAACAAACACAATTCAAAACCAACCTAACGAGAAAAAAAAAAAAAAATCAAATCTCTCGCTCTGTAAACATCTCAGCGACTGAGTACAAACACATCTTTCTCCTTGTTTCTCTCTCGTTTTCCAAATAAAGTTTACATTTTTTTTTTTTGTGTGTGATCTACAATTGTGAAATCAATGACGGAACCGGAGCGATTAGGAGGAATCTCTCTGAGTTTTCCGGCGAATGAGGAAGATAACGTAACGGCATCATCACCAAAGACTCTTCCCCGGAGACTCCGTCGTCGTCTTCTCGAACCCAAGAGTCCTGTCTCTGCCGAAGAGATCGATTCCAAACTCAGAGAAGCTGATCTCCGTCGTCAGGTAAAAAAAGAAATTAAAAGTTTGAAACTTTACGTTGGATTGTGAAAAAGATCGTTACTTTATGGAATTTTTGTTGCAGCAATACTATGAGTCACTATCTAGCAAAGCTCGACCTAAGATGAGAAGTCCAAGATCAGGTAGTATAGAGGAGCTTAGTCAGAGACTTGAATCAAAGCTTAATGCTGCTGAGCAAAAGAGGTTAGAAAGATTCTGTTTTTGTTTGGTGGGTTTAGATATTAGAGGAGGAAATGTGAGGATTTGATTAAGTTATTGTTGTTAGGTTAAGTATTTTGGAGAAGGAGGTGGCTCGTTTGGTGAAGATGGATGAAGCTAGGCAAGCTGCGAAGAACGGGCTTGAGAAACGGGTTGAGAAAGAGCGTGATGAGTTAGAGAGTAAGGTTGAAGAGAGGGTTTTGAAGGCTGAGAAAAATAGGATGCTTCTTTTTAAAGCTATGGCACAACGAAGAGCGGCGAAGAGACAACGAGCTGCGCAGAGTTTGATGCAGAAGGCGGTTCAGGAGAAGAGGTATAAGGAGAGTGTGCGTGCAGCAATTTATCAGAAAAGAGCAGCTGCGGAGAGTAAACGGATGGGGATTTTGGAAGCGGAAAGGAGAAGAGCGAATGCGAGGTTGACACGGGTTTTTGGTGCTGCTAGTTCTGTGCAGAATAAGAAGGAAGCTGAAAGAAGGAAAATGAAGGACCGTTTAGAAGAGCGGCTTCAAAGGGTATGTTAATATGTTTAAGCCTTTTGCTTATGAAACCATATTGCAATTGGCCGTAATTATTATTGTTGTGGCATTTGTTAGGCTAGGAAACTGAAAGCACAATATATGAGGCGTAGGAGAGGCATGGACAGTTGTTCATCTTCAAGATCAGAAACATTAAGAAAGAACCAAGTGCATCTTGTGAGGATGTTAGAAAGGTAGGTATATTTGCCTGTAAAATTTTGTAAGTTGTTTCACTGGCTTACCTTGGTGGTCTGATTGTAATTATAAAATCTCAGATGCTGGAGGAGATTTACAAAGTACACGAAGTCTACTTATGGCTTGGCTAGCGCATATCACAGCCTCGGGATCAATGAAAAATCCATTGAGTCAGTGCCGTTTGAGCAGTTTGCCATTCAGATGAACTCAGTTTCTGTTATTCAAACAGTGAAAGAATTGCTTGATCGCTTGGAGATCCGACTCACTCTATCTCAGGCATCCAATGTGGAGAATATTAATCATCTTCTTAAACACATCTTTCCCCCAGCTCGTAGAGGAAACTCACCCAGTTCCACGAGTAAAGGCGAGAAAAAGACACCAAATTCTAACAAGACGGGATATAAAAAGCTTAAAAAGACTGCGAGATATCCGGCTAGAATTTTTCTTTGTGCCTACATGATCAAACAACATCCGGGTGCAATTTTTAGAGGAAGAGGTGAACATGAGATTACGCTAGTGGAATTTGCAACCCATCTTATTCGGGAATTTGAACTATTGGTGAAAATTATATTGGAAGGACCAGAGTGTACTCTTCCGGGAAATGTATCTTTCGTTGCTCCACGTCCAAAAAAATTCAGATCACAGCTAGAAGCATTTGATAAAGCTTGGTGCTCTTATTTGAAGGGGTTTGTAGTTTGGAAAATTAATGATGCTAAGCTTCTAGAAAAAGATTTAGCCAGAACTCAGGAGCCAGAGCTCTCTGCGGTATCGAAACATGCTTCCTCTCCCAAAACAGTAGACAGTGGTGTAAATCAGAAACCGGTATTTCTCGTTCCTATCTCTTACATTTTCCTTAATGGACTTTGTGTACGTTCCTATCTCTTACATTTACCTTAATGGATTTTGTGTACATGAGCGTAAAGTAAGCTCATTGTGCTGCACAATTATCTAAATAGCAGACCATAGAATGTCAGAAGCTTGATAGGGTGAATGACTTATCTTTTTTTTAACTGAAGGCATCTCCAAGTAATCGGGCGATATTTTCTGAAATTGATGGAGTACAAGAATCAAAAGCGCCTATAGATTCACTTTCTCCATCTTCATCTTCACCAGGCTCATCAAATTTGTCCTCCTCTTTGAACTCTGGTAATACTTTCAATCTGGATAACCTTTAGAGCTCACAGATAATCTGGCAAGCCTTCAATCTAACACGAGTTTTATCCTAGCAGGAACCGAGGGAATTTCTACTCCAAACGTGGCAGCTAATAGCCTCGATGCAGCATTGGCTAGTGAGAACGAAGTAATCGTAAATGAAATTGTCCATGACAATAGCAGTAGTTTTGCTGATAGCCTTGACCCTAACACTGGGGATACAAGCAACCTTCAGGTACATAAGTATAAATTACTCAAGATTGTGATATATTTTGACTTCACTATTCTGGTATGTACAGTTGCTCTATTATATTATTGATTTAACTAATATTTCTTCACTTTCTTGATATCCCAGGTAAGGGTTAAGGAGACAATGGAAAAGGCTTTCTGGGATGGCGTCATGGAATCGATGAAACAGTCGCAGCCAGACTTCAGCTGGGTTCTTAAACTCATGAAAGAAGTCAGGGATGAACTATGTGAGATATCTCCCAAAGATTGGAGACAAGAGATTATCCAAACTATCGATACGGATGTGCTGTCACAGGTGCTTGTTCCGACAGCCTTATATTAATTATTGGTACAACCTATACGTTATGTACTTAATGTCTTTTTTCTCTTGGCATGATTCAGTTACTGGCTTCTGGAAATGTCGACATGGGTTATCTTGGAAATATTCTAGAGTTTTCCCTTGGCATTTTGCTGAAACTATCTGCTCCAGCTAATGAAGAGGAAATCAGGACTACTCACAATAAATTAATGACAGAACTTGGAGAGATAGTTCCAACTGAAGGCCAGTCAAATTCTTCATATGCCATCTTAATGGTGAAGGGGCTACGCTTTGTTTTGCAGCAGATTCAGGTATGTGCATTTTCTCTATTCTACTTTGTGGACATTATAATTGATCGTTTTGAGCTTTCTGAACATGATAAACTATGAATAGAAAATTGTAGATGGGTATATTTCTATAAATATGAATAAAGAAGAGGACAAGGTTCCCAAGAAGCTACCAACTTTTGAACATTATATTTCCATTATCTCCACAAGCATAATTGTAATAAACTTCCCTTTTCATGTAATACACTGTGTTAACCACCACTGCTAATTTCTTTGAAGTTCTTTTAACCTCCGAATTAATGAAATCCAAACCTGGGGACTAAATCTGAAATGCCCTTTTTTCTTACAGATCCTAAAGAAGGAAATCAGCAAATCTCGTTTGAAACTCTTGGAGCCACTTCTCAAAGGACCTGCTGGTCTGGAATATCTGAAAAAGTCATTTTCTAGTCGACATGGTTCACCAGACCAAGCGTCGTCCTCGCTACCATTGACAAAACGTTGGCTTTTAAGTGTCCGGGAAGAGGCAGAGAGGGAGTGGAAAGAACACAAAGATGCACTTTCTGCTGTCACAAATAATCACTCTGGATCATCCGGCCTCCCTTCAACCACCATGCGAACTGGAGGCAATATCTCCTCTGTTTCAAAAGCCAATACCCCTTCGTCTCTATTTCCAGGTTTGGTGTCAATCTATCAACTTTATGATAAGCGAGTGAATGGTTTAATAAGCTATTACTCCAGATTTGGCTATTTAAGAATCTTAAACGATGCTTCCATGACACTTTGATGAATCCACCTTGGTCATTTGTTGATCTATGTAGTCATAGTTGCATGCTGGTGATTTTCTGTTGCAGGAATTGAACTGTCAGAGTGCAAGGGAGAAACTGTGGATCTTCTTGTTCGTGTCGGCCTATTAAAATTGGTGAGCGAAATCGGTGGTCTTACTTTAGAAACTGTCCCTGAAACATTTCAACTTAACCTCTCTAGGCTGAGAGCTATTCAATCCCAAATCCAGAAAATCACTCTAGTCTCCATCAGGTCAGTAACTGTAAAATTCATCTATTGATTCCATAGTTCTGATTATAAAACTCTCCTATTAACCCCTCTGTCTATTTCTCTTAGTGTATTGATCCTTCAGCAAACACTGGTAAGCGACAACTCAGCCCCGTTAGACATGGAGACCATTACATGGACTTGCATAAACCGGCTTTACGAGATGTTGGATGCAAAACCTGATGCTGGTCTTTCAGAAATCATGGAAACACTCTCGGAGCTTATTGATTCTGATGATGCAGAGACAAAGAAACAAGTAATTGCAAACATGCTTCTGAAAAGCTTACAAGCAGGAGATGCAGTATTCACACATGTATCACAGACCATATACCTAGCCATTAGAGCCGCGGTTTTTGCAGGAAACAACAACACAAAGAGAAAGCAGTTGGTGGAAACAATGCTAAGAAAGATCGGAGCAGCTTCTCTCTCAGACAAGGTCACAGAGGTTTCAGACATTCTTGTTCTTGTTGCAACAGTGTCACGTTCTGTTCATGGGTTATGGTATGAAGAGTTACTGAAGGAACATAACTAAAAAGGCTCTGGATCAGTGGACTAGTGTGGCTTGTCTTTGGCAGTGTTAAAGATTTTTAAGTGTTTGTAGATAAGAGTCGGAACAACAACAACACACCAACAACACACCACGTTTGTATTTATAACACTATTACTGATACATCTATATAATACACTGAGTATTCCTGTTTTATCTATTGTGTGATTGATTCTCATTAAACCGAGTTTGATTTCAAATTGAACCCGGTTCGATTATTTTTGGGGCTAACTAACACACCATTTAAATTTGGTCTCAGTGACAATACAAACAAAAGTGTTGTTGGGGAACTAATAATCCCTACAGACAATTACTGACAAAAGAACTAAAGGCAAAAGCTGTTCTGTACAGTTCTTGATTATTTGAAACCAACTGAATATTTTTTTTTCTAAAGTTATAAAGAAATATATAAACAAAAGAAGACAGTTCAGCTTTGTGACAAAATTAATTATTTGAATTTTTCTTTTAAAGATAAAATTAAAAAAATTTCTGTGTAATACAGAACTTGTTTTAGTGTAACAAACAAATACTTCCTTTTAATAGTTTTAATTCCATTTTATTGTTGTCAAATTTGGTTATGCATTAATTTAGTTTTTTTTTTCGTTCTTTGTATTAGTTGGTTGTATTTAATCGTTTTTGTCCATACAAAAAAAACATCTTGAATGAAGAAAACGTATCATATTCATAATAGAGTTTGCTTTTGGATTCTAAACATGGAGAATAGTGTTTTAGAGAACCAAGTTTCAAAGTCATTTCTCAGACCTTTCAACACCATTGTTTGGTAATAAGAAGTTGACAAAACATGTAACACATTTGTTTTGTGCAGTATGCATATCTAGCATGTTTTACAGACCAAAATGTTATCAGCACCAAAGTATTGACCATGAAACACTATACAAATAATAATCTTATCGATCTCTAACAAAAAGATGAGCATACTACACAATACAATCGACTCAATGATTCGTATCTTAGGTCATCATTATAGGGGATCTTACACCCCCCTTTTCCTTAAGAAGATCTTGAGATTTTGGGACTCTAATATTTACCTCAAATGATTTGTATCTTAGGTCTCATGACTAGATTTACCAAATTCATAAGAACAAATGTTGGTTCTCCAATTTAGGTCGGATACTACTTGTCTATAGATAATTTTCGTAACTTAGATCTCATGACTTAGATTGATCCAACCCATAAGAATAAAATTTGGTTCTCGAACTCGGGTCGGATATTACTTGTCTATAGATAATTTTTGAACATTATTGTTGGAGTAAGAGAAAATCCAGCTCTTTAACACACCCATTTACATCTCACTTATAAAGTGCTAAATGCATGCTTATTTAGGAAGAACATAATCTTCTAAAGAAATAAACAAACACTTGTAAACATTAAAAGAGCAAGTTTATTGGTGAAAGAATACAAAAATAGGACCATTAATATATTCTAATAAAAAAAATACAATTAAACCATTAACAAAGCTACAAGTGTAATTTAGGACCAAGGATAACCCATGTTTGTTCTCTCTCACATTTTTTAAAAATGCTGTAAAACTAATTAGGAATGCTGTAAAACTAATTAGGAATACCTTTCCGCATATTTAGATGGGTTAAAAATCGTGACCCATACTTTAAATAATATAATATTTATAGCTAATACTAATGAAAATTATATATTATATAAGGTCAAATTAATTTAGGAAAAACATGTTGAATAACATACAACTCATTCCTCTGCAAATAAGAGATAAACGAGTTGAACAAATTTCTTCTATAATTTGTTCATTTTTGCAACTTTTTTTTGTGGAATAGGTTGAATAATTTTTTCAACTCATTTTATCTGAAATGGTAAAAAATTAGATAAAAGCTAATTTCAACCATTTCAACCTTTTTTTTATGTCATTCATTTACACCTAAAATTTTTACACTTGAATATTAAAAATAAAACTCAATATATCTATGTTCCTACTAATTAAATAAACATATGTATATCAGATAATTCTACCTACCCTCAAAAATAATATTTCATACTAAAATTACTAACACATTCACTTAACTTTTTATGTGTTTGCTATATAAACACATTTTGTTCCCATTTGTTCTTAATTATACCACAAATCAATCTACTAGCAATTCAACCCAAAAATGTTTCAAAAGACCACTAACAAACAACTAAACCCAAAAATATATGCATGAACATGTATCATTACTATTTTTTGGTAGTTACAACTTACAACAAAGTAGCAAAATTTAATAAAGTACTGGTTACACATTTATTATTTACTTTAAAAAGGATAAAGACATCTTCTACTTTATTAAGACAGCTTTTTTGAGTTTGCAATTTTATTATAGTTCACATTGGATACTCTTCCTTTGACCATTCTCATAGTCTCTCTACCTGAATAACCCGCTTAACATCACTCTCTGTGACTCTGTCTCTTTCCAATACAAACTAATATAAAAATGTCTCAAGATTCTCTAACTACTACTCCGCCGCCACCTTCCGGTGAAGAACTAAAGCCAAAGCTTCTAACTTTGGAGCCGGAGAAGCCACCGGAGCCAAAGCTTGTAACTTTGGAACCAGAGAAGCCACCGGAGCCAAAGCTTGTAACTTTGGAACCAGAGAAGCCACCGGAGCCAAAGCTTGTAACTTTGGAACCAGAGAAGCCACAGGAGCCAAAGCTTGTAACTTTGGAATCAGAGAAGCCACCGGAGCCAAATCCTCAGCTACCCTTAATGCCGGAGTTAGAGCAGCCTAACCATGTGGCAGAGGATGAAACAGAGAAGTTACATCAAGTAAAGACAGAGCCAGAGGGTCTCAAGTATGATTCAGAGCAGTCATATCTAGTGAGTTCGGAGACAGAGGTTCTTAACCATGCGGCGGAGGATTCAGAGAAGCCACATGAGATGTCTCCGGAGACAGAGACTTCGGAGGATGAGTTAGAGAAGACACAGAAACTGATGTTAGAACAGAGGAGAAAGTATATGGAAGTAGAAGATTGGACAGAACCGGAGCTACCGGATGCGGCTGTGTTAGAAGCTGCAGCGTCAATACCTGAGCCGAAGCAACCGGAGCCTCAAGCGGCGAACGCGGCGGCACAACCACCAACTACTGCTTCTTCCGGTGAATCAAGATCGTTGGCTGATATGATGAACAGAGAAGAAGCTGAAGCAGAGGAGAAACAAAAGATTCAGATTCCTCGTAGTAGTCTTGGTTCATTCAAAGAAGAGACGAACAAAATCTCTGACCTTACAGAACACGAGTTAAACGCACTTCACGAGCTCCGTAACCTTCTTCAAGATTCTCAAGATTCAGGCAAAAGCTCTATATGGGGTGTGCCACTTCTCAAAGACAACCGAAGCGACGCCGTTTTGCTAAAGTTCCTAAGAGCAAGAGACTTCAAACCTCAAGAATCTTACTCAATGCTCAAGAAGACACTCCAATGGAGAATCGAGTTCAACATTGAGGAGCTTCTTGATGAAAACCTCGGAGATGATTTAGACAAGGTTGTGTTCATGCAAGGAACAGACAAGGAGAATCATCCTGTCTGTTACAATGTCTACGGTGAGTTTCAGAACAAGGATCTTTATATGAAAACGTTCTCTGATGAGGAGAAGAGAGAACGGTTCTTGAGGTGGAGGATCCAGTTTCTTGAAAAGAGTATAAGGAATCTTGATTTTGAAGCTGGTGGTGTTTCCACGATCTGTCAAGTAAACGATCTTAAAAACTCTCCAGGACCTGGTAAGACTGAGCTTAGGCTAGCTACTAAGCAAGCTCTTCATCTTCTTCAAGACAATTACCCTGAGTTTGTCTCTAAACAGGTACGAATATTTATTACATAGACAATGATTTAACAATGTTCTTTATGATTCTCAGATCTGATATTGGACAATGTTGATTGTTTGATTAGATATTCATCAATGTTCCATGGTGGTACCTTGCGTTCTATAGGATTATTAGTCCTTTCTTGACACAAAGGTCAAAGAGCAAACTAGTTTTTGCAAGTCCTTCAAGATCTGCAGAGACACTTTTCAAGTAATAACCAAAACCTTTTAGAGTGTCGTTTATCAAATTGTTTACATAACTATTGGAAATGTTAAGCCACTCCTGTTGTCTTTTGGTTTTTATAGGTACATTTCACCAGCACATGTCCCGGTTCAGTATGGTGGACTAAGTGTAGATAACTGCGACTGCACCTCGGATTTTACACATGATGATACCGCTACTGAGATTACTATTAAACCAACTACTAAACAAACCGTCGAGATAATTGTTTACGAGGTGAGAACCTTTTGTATTCGACATTTTATAAAAATATTTGAAACCCCCATATGTGTGTTTGAATGTGATTGTAGAAGCCATTATCAGTTTGTAACATATTTTTGCATATATAATGTTATGAAAACTAAAGTTTTCGTTCAATTCGAGTTATTGTTTTGTTTTGAAAAAATGAGGTTTCAATACTAAGTTCTCAAAATTCATCTAGGTGTGGTGTCCTCTTACATTTTTGTGCCTTTGTATACAGAAATGCACGATTGCGTGGGAGATAAGGGTAGTGGGATGGGAAGTAACCTATGCAGTAGAGTATGTGCCGGAAAACAAAGAAGGGTATACAGTGATCATACAAAAACCGAGGAAGATGGCTGCGAAAAACGAACCAGTGGTGTCTCAAAGCTTCAAAGTTGGAGAAGTTGGTAGGATCTTGCTAACCGTGGATAACCCGACTTCGACCAAGAAAATGCTTATCTACAGGTTCAAGGTTAAGCCTTTACCTTGTGAGTAACAAAAGTTGCCTCTTTCTTGAGTGTTGTTTCTTTAGTTTAGAACTTGAGATCATATGATTGTTGGTTGTGTGTTCTTTTTCTTATATGTCGTCGACTTATATATATATGCTTGTGTGGTTCTGTTTTTCCTATCGTTAAAGAGTGTTAGTCAAAGAGTGTTATAAGCCAAAGCTGTTTTTTTTGCTCTTGTTAATGGACTTGATTGCCAAGAATAGCTTAAGCGTAGAGAACAAAGAGATTGAAAGCTAAGTCTCTCTTTGAGAATTAGTTTGGCTCTTTCTTCAAATATACCAGAAGATGTTTAGCAAAAGAGTCCTGTCAAGATCAATATACTAAATTAAGTATACGAAATTATTAGGCTTTGTGATTCTTGTAATAACTCCTATAATTGGTTTATCAATACATAACGTTTTCTTGTAGCCATGTATGCTGCTTTCACATGATTTGACCTAAGGGATCCAAACTCGTTTTCGTCTAATATGTAAATCAGATTGTGACAATAACAAGTTGTGATATCAAATCTCATTTTAAGTCCTTTTTAAGTTTACTTACTCACATCATATGGTAATGTGAATAGCTTTAAGCCTTCAAAGAAACAGTCCAATGGCAATTTTGGATATGATTAATCACTTTTAAAAGAATTACAAAGAGTAACTAAAAATTTTGAGGAGCGTAAAGAGTAAAGACAAAAACTAGCTTTGTTACAAAAGTCTCAAAAAGTAATAAAAGCCTCACATTAAACTACCATATGGTCAAGAAATGTGTAAACGGAATGACCCTTAAACGCTCCCAATCCTTGTATTTTGACACTTCTGATTGTGTTACTCTCTGCATTGTAGTAGTAAACGTAGAAAGGCTTCCATGGAATGGACGAAAACGTCAACACAAATTCATTCGTGCGAGTCACTCCAACAACGCGTAAAATCGCGTTCTCCCCTCCAACCATATTCTTCCAGAAAGAGGGCAATACATATACATGCTCAGACCACACATGCTTTTCCTCATCTTCAAGAACCCACAAACTAAAGCTTGTACAGCTTCCATAGATACCACCCTCCTTTTTATACCGAAGTAAACCTAATTTACCATTGTAGTTGATCAAAGGTGAACCATAACGTGAAAAACTGAGAGGGATAGGGTCTTTAACAAATCTGAATTTCTCCGACCTAAGATCAAAAATAACGATTATACGACGCCTTGTAGCCGTGTTGACCGCTGGATAATACAGAACACCATCTATGCATACATGGTTACATCTAGAATAAAGAGTATGAGGTATGCAACATTTAGTCCTTGTCCTTCTCCATGAAAGTGTTCCACTAGTTCCTAATGTTAGAACTTGATGCTCTTCATCAGTGTTCCTAGTCATGGACAATACCTTGTATTGTTTCTTGATAGGCTCATACCCAAAATAGCATCTCATACCAATCTTCTCCCTCTTCTTAAGATGAAGTAAGGTCACAGATTGTTCCGTGCTGAGGTTACATATCACCCAGACCTTATTCTTCCCAAACAGCTGCTCACCCTTAATAAGCACCAAACCTCTGACATAGCTACATGTTTCATATGAAGAGCCATGACATGGAGTTTTCATATGATAGTTAGCAGCAAAAACAGAGGATTTTTTGTGATTTTGAGGCTGAGGTGAGGAGTAGAAGAACATATGATTCCGTGTTCCGGAAGCGAACAGTAGCCGCGGGTGAGCTAAAAATCTTGTCAAGACCAAATCGTTGAAATAGGGGAGGCGAGGGATCGTAGCCCATAGCTTCGATACGCAGCAAAATCTTGAGACTGATTTTGCAGGCAGTCTTGAACAGATCTCGACAGCTAGGTCAAGTGGGATCGGTTCTTTGTCCGTGATTGAGGTCTTGAGTGGCGTATTTTGTTTGGTGACGGCAACAAGATCCTCCTCCGAGACGTTTTGCTGATCTGTTTCCATGGCGGAGTTAAAACCCTAGACTAGTGACGTCGGACGCAATATTCATTTTTATGTGAAAGTGAAACCCTAGAGTGTGTTGCACGGTTTTTATGACCGGTGTTACAACCCTAGACTAATGACGGACGCAATTTTGTGTGTGTGTATGTTCAATACTATTGATTCATTAACTATGTAAATATTTTATTTTGTATTAAGAAAAGTATAATCATATATTTATGTAAACTCAAACACATTCAATCATATTTATGTACAATGTTATTATATTTTAATTTGTTTAGAGTTAAAATATTAATAAAATTTTAAGTTTTTATAGAGTTTAAATATTTTAGATATTCTATAAAGCTTATATTAAATTTTATAATATTGGAAGCTTTTAAAAGTTTTAATATTATAATATATTAAAAAATTAATTTATAAGATTTTGAAAATTTTTGAAAGTTTAGTTTTTTAAATAAAGAACCGGATATCAAACCGAATAATTTTTTTAAATTTGAATGTATGAGAAATCAAACTACCTGCTCATTTGTAGTTGGACTCATTGACGGACGCAATCGAGAAATAGCGAAAATCAACTCAACCCATTTATTATTGTATGCTTTTAGTTGTTTTGTAAAATAATATTTTTCCTAGAGCTTATCTTTATAAAAAAAATATTATGTTATATTTTTTAGAGCTCATTTTTGTTTACGATTCTAAATATGCATCATATTCAATTCTTTTTGTTTTGTTTAATGGGATACTAAAATATAATAACTGATGTTATTCACCATGGTGGTACCTTGCGTTCTATAAGATTACTAGTCCTTCCTTGAGACAAAGGTCAAAGAGCAAACTAGTTTTGCAAGTCGTACAAGATCTGCAGAGACACTTTTCAAGTAATAACCAAAATCTTTTGATTTTATAGGTACATTTCACTAGAACTTGCATATGTCCCGGTGCAGTATGGTGGACTAAGTGTCGATAACTTCGACTGCACCAACTACTGATGATACTGAGATTACTATTAAACCAACTACTAAACAAAACGTCGAGATTATTGTTTACGAGGTAAGATCCTTTTGTGTTGTACATATTTATACAACGGTTGCAAACGGTAATTTCTGTGTGTTGAATGTGAAAATGAGTCCAAAACCTACTTTTTCACATTTTCATAATAGATTTTGCATAATGTTATGGAAACTAAGTGTTTCCTTAGTTCCGGCTTTACATTTGTTTTGAAAGATTGTGGTTTCAATACTAAAGTTCTCAAGATTTGGCAATGGTGTGTCCTCTTACATTTGTGCCTCAAAACACTTTGTATGCAGAAATGCACGATTGCGTGGGAGATAAGAGTAGTGGGATGGGATGTTACCTATGCAGTGGGATGGGATGTTACCTAATCATGCTCCGACCACTCACGCTGATCCGCATCTTCTAGAACTCGCAACCTAAAACTTGTACAGCTTCCATGGATACCATCATCCCTTTCATACAGAAGTAAACCTAATTTACCATTGTAGTTGATCATAGGTGAACTATAATACGAAGCGAGAGGGTCATTGTCTTCAACAAATCTGAATTTCTCCGACCGAACATCAAAGAGAACAATTATACAACGCCTTGTAGTCATGTTAACCGCTGGATAATACAGGACACCATCGATGCATACATGATTATATTTGCGATAAATAGAATGAGGTATGCAACATTCGATCCTTCTCCATGAATGTTTACTACCAGTTCCTAATGTCAGAACTTGATGCTCCTCAGTGTTTTGAAGTCCATTAATCTCCCAGGTCATGGACAATACCTTGTATTGTTTCTCGATAGGGTCATACCCAAAATAGCCTATCACTCCATTCATCTTCCCCGTATTGAGTTTAGGTAAGGTCACAGATTGTCCCGTGTTGGGGTTAGATATCACCCATACCTCGCCTCTAGTAAACACCAAGCCTCTGACAAAACTACATCTTCCAAATAAAGAGACATGACCATGATACGGATATTTCATATGATACTTAGCAGCTACACGAGAGGAGTTGTTGTCATCAGGCTGCGTTGAGGAGTACAAGAACATATGTTTGTCTTTTTCCGAGGCGAACAGTAGCAGCGGGCGAGCTAAAGATCGTGTCAAGACCAACTCTGTGAAGTAGGGGAGGCGAGGAATCGTAGACCAGAGCTTTGATACGCAGCAAAATCTTGAAATAGACTTTGCCGGCAGTCTTGAAAAGATCTCTAGGGTTAGGTCAAGTGGGATTGAGGTCTTGTGTGGCGTATTGTGTTTGGTGATGGCAACAAGATCTTCCTCCGACATGTTTTGCTTCTCTGTTTTCATGGCGGAGTTAAAACCCTAGACTCAGTGACGGACGCAATCTTGACTATAATGAGATAGTGAAACCCTAGAGTGCGTACACGAGGTCTAGACTCTTTTTTTTGTGCGTGTCTCATTAACTTTTGATTCTATATGAATAAAGGACAACACTAGGGGTAAAAATTAATCAAATATTAAATCATAATCAAATATTTAACGCTGAATGAGTTTATTTCATTATAAAAAGGTACAAAGAATTAAAAATAACCAAAAAGCAAATCAAAAACCGAACACCTTAACCAAATCCTCTACGATCCCTCTCAACTCGATCATGCAACCATGAAGGGTCTCCAAGTGCCAAATAGGAATTGAAACGCCCATCCTTTGTCACACTACAAGCGATCTCTCTGGTCAACGAATTAGCCTTTGGTGAAAAGAGTTTAAAAGAAACCTCCCCTTCACTTGATTACTTGAAAAATCTTATCTAGTTTTTAATAAATAATAAAAATCTTATCTAGTTTTTAATAAATAATAAAATCATATCAATTTTTAATAAATAATTAAAAATTGGAAATCTTTTAATATCAACTAAATAATTAAAAAACAAATCTGATACAAAGTTGTAATAGTAAATGCCACTTTGTAACAAAAGTGAATTTAAACTCTAGGAAAAGTTAAAAGTTATAAAAAAAGCTTTGATAAATGCTTATTAAAATTTGTTTATTACTAAATTTTACATAAAAAATCTGTAACTTATAATTAATATGAAATTTTCTTTACAACTAACACATGATTATTGCATTTATTATTACATTACAATCAAATCTCATTGCTACAAAGATCTTAATGGCAAATGGACTGACTTCACTAAGGTTTTTTACTATATAAAGGCACATATACAACTCAAAACTATTCATGTATTCATAGTATAATTTTCTTGTTTGTTAATTTGAAGTCTAAAGTTGATTAGTCATATTCTCGTGCTTTGCAATTAGTAAATCATGGCAGGAGGAAGCAAACCGGTTCCAACTAAAGATGATGCGCATGCATATCTTAAGGCTGTGAGCGATCATTTTCACAATGATCGTAAAAAATATGAAGACTTTGTTGCACTCTTGATTAAGTTTAAAGCTCACAAGTATGTGATATAGTTTTTGGAAGATATGATTAAGATGTTTGGTTCATATTTTTAAAATTTTTTTTAAAGAAGTAATTAATTTTGATTTATAATTTTATTGTAGAATTGATAGGGAAGATGTCATAAGAGGAGTGCGTGTTCTGCTTAACGGACAACCAAACTTGGTTTCGGGTTTCAATGCATTTTTACCAGAGTGGTTGTACATCTCAGTTCCATTTAGATTTTCTAAAAAAACAAATAATTGATTTGTGATTTGTGCTCTTTTACTTTATTTAGAGAATCGTAATTTAAATATACAGATAATATCTTATATAAATAACTAAATAAAACTGTATATATATATATATATGAATGATCTTTGCTATTCTCAAATTTATTTAATACCAATCTTTTATTTAACTCTTTACTCGCTACGTAACATCGACATCAACTAAACTTATGTACTTCAGGAAAATGTATTCTACTGTAATTGCTTAAGACAAAAAAAGTTATACGTAAATCCAAATTTATGGTAATAACTAATAACCTTAGTTGTTATATTTGAACATCCTATAAATCTATAAAAATGAATAAGATGCATATTCAAAAATTGAAAACATAATGTTAGCTATTTTTATGACATGTTATGAAGTATATTACAAGATTATATTTTAAAAATATAACATAAAATTGGTTGATAGAGATGAGCTCTACAAAATATATTCATTTTTACAACAAAAAAGGGATATACTCATTTTCTACCAAAAAATAATTATAAACTAATTCATAAATAAAATTTTTAATTTTTTAATATGTTTGGAAATGTCAAAACATCAATATATAGAAATGAACTCTAACAATCAATGTGTATATATGTCGATAATTTTATATATTTGTTAATTTATAATATTGATGCATGGGTCTACATATTTAGAAAATATTTTCAAAAAAATTATTATCTCATTATAATATCGAATTGTGTCTAAAATTACATTGGCCTAACTAGGAACTAGTGAAATTTTGTTAATTTATAACGATCATTAATTCATCAAGGACTAATTTATTGACGGTTTACTATACTTCCTTCTCGTATATATCTTCTTGTGGAGCATATATATTTTTTTTTCTGTTAGGTTCGTATTTTAGATAAAAGTTTTTCATAGAAGCCCTTTTGAACCATTTGAGTTAAAGAGTAGTAATAAAAAAATTATGAAATCCAGACTAAGTATTTTCTTCTTGTTGTCATTTTAAATTATTTGACTCTTCTGATTGTGTTTCTCTCTGCATTGTAGAAGAAAACATAGAAATACGGATTGGCCCAAAATGGCAACACAAATTCATTCGTGCGAGTCACTCCAACAACGCGTAAAATCGCATCTTCCCCTCCAACCATATTCTTCCAGAAAGACGGCAATACATATACATGCTCCGACCACTCATGCTTTTCCTCATCTTCTAGAACCCACAAACTAAAGCTTGTACAGCTTCCATGGATACCTTTATCCTTTCCATACCAAAGTAAACCTAATTTACCATTGTAGTTAATCAGACGTGAATCATTATAATATGATTTATTGATAGGGTGGTTATCAACAAATCTGAATTTCTCCGACCTAAAATCAAAGAGAACGTACGATTATGTAACGCTGGATAATACAGAACACCATCGATGCACACATGGTTACACATATAATAAAGAGTATGAGGTATGCAACACATGGTCCTTTTTGTGTGTGTGTGTGTGTGTGTGTGTTCATTATTAACTTTTGATTCTATATAACTAAAGCACAAATTATTAACTTTGAGTCAACTGGGGTTTCATAATTCTTACGAATAAATTAAAAATTCATATCATAAAACCATTTTGAGTCAACTGGGGTTAAAACTTACCCTTTGTTGTTAAATATATTGACGCAAAATAATAATTTGACCCATCAAATAAAATTCAAAACTGAAACTTGGAAGTTTGGTAAAGAGTGTTTCATAGGGGTAATTAATTAATTAGGTAATGTAGTTGCACAATCAAGAAAATGTTGGTCGTGGGCAACACTCATTAGAAGTGTTGATGGCTTTTTCTAAGTTTTATCGACAAGTATAATTTGATAGTTAGAACTTTTATATATATAAGTTATACAACATGGTTACAACATGTCAACATGGTTAATTATTTTAAACAAACCCATGACTTTTCCTCCCTATTCATAATCACCGAGTCTACTATATAATAATTTGACTTAGAAATCACAAAAACAAACTCAAATCAAGATTCAAGAATGGCTTCAAGAGACTCGAGAGGAGGTGACGATAATAGCTTAGCGGCTTGGGAGGTAGCTTTAATAGTGGAGGCTCAAAAAGAGCTAGATCGAATGGTAGAGGCTCAAAAGGAGGTAGACCTAATGGTAGAGACTCAAAAGCATATACAGCAAATGGTAGAGGCTCAAAAGCAGTTGCAAATGTGGCAGACTAAACTAGATATATCGAAGATGGAATCAAAGATGGCAAGAAAAGCTAGAAAGTCTATTCTCGACAATATTTAAAGCTATGAAAATTTGATTATGAGATCCCTTTCGCGCACATTGCTCTCGGATTCTTGAAGATTTGAGATCATTAACTATGTTCATGTTTTAGTTTCTGTACCTTTACATTGATTTGTTGAAAGTTTTCATTGATTATGTTTTTTTTTTCTTTAGATGAAGTAGTGAATTACTTTTATCATAGTAATGTATTTTTTGTTCTAAATGTGAAGGCACATCCTATTAATGTTGGTTCTTAGTAATGCCAATATGCATGGTGTATTGTGAATCATTTTATAAATTAAAGAACGTAAAACTAAGAAATTAAAGAATGAAAATATGTGCTTTAACAAAAACTAATAAAGTAAATTTACTAGATAGATATATTTTAACATATATGGCATCAATACTTTTGATTTTTGACATGTTGTCTACTTTTTTTTAAATATCAACTAAATAATTTTTAAAAAAATTGATAAAATGTTGTAATAGTAAATGCCACTTTGTAACAAAAGTGATTTTAAACTCTCGGAAAAGTTAAAAGTTATAAATAAGCTTTGATGAATGCTTATTAAGATTTTTTTTATTAGTATTAGTTAAGGCCTTGATTGGTTGTTGCTATAGCTTTAGATTTTTTTTCCTGTAGATTTAGAGCTATAGAATTTTAAAGTGTTTTGGCTGTAGGAATTACTTTTTTGGAAAGTTGAAAATATGTGCTTTTGAAAAAATGCCTTTGCACGGTCAAAAAAAAAATAATTAAGAAAATATTTTACATATGAATAAAAAAAAAAAGGAAATACAAAATTTATAAAGTTTGATTGCTATGAATTTGTAACTTTGGACAGAATATGGATTTCTAAAATTTATAAAGTTTAAGCAGCAACCAATCAAGGCCTAAATCTGTAACTTATAATTAATGTGAAATTTTCTTTACAACTGACATGTGATTATTGCATTTATTATTATATTAATTACAATCATATCTCATTGCTACAAAGATCTTAATGGCAAATGGACTGACTTCACTAAGGTTTTTACTATATAAAGACACATATACAACTCAAAACTATTCATGTGCTACAGCCTACAAAGGTGAACATTGCATTCGTAGTAAAATTTATGGTTTTGTTACTTTGAAGTCTAAAGTTGATTAGTCATATTCTCGTGCTTTGCAATCTGCATGCTCTTTTAATTCGACTAAATTGCTAATTAAGATCCCTCTTAGGGAATTTTTTGCCAAAGATTTTAAGTTACTTTTAAAGAAAATAGGTAATGTGTTTGAGCTAATAGAGATTAAAACGAAAAATCTAATAGCTTTAATGAAAAAACAAGTAATTAAAAAATCACTCTCTTTGTTTAGAAAAAAGCTTCGACCAATTGGAAAAACCATGACAGGAGGAAGAAATATATTTAAGGGACAAGGAAGCAAACCAGTTGCAACTAAAGATGATGCACATGCATATCTTAGGGCAGTGAGGGATCATTTTCATAATGATCGTAAAAAATATGATGACTTTATTGCACTCTTGACTAAGTTTAAAGCTCGCAAGTATGTGATATAGTTTTTGGAAAATATGATTAAAGATGTTTGGTTCAATTTTTTGTGTTAAAGAAGTAATTAATTTGATTTATAATTTCATTGTAGAATTGATAGGGCTGATTGCGTAATAGGAGTGCGGGATCTGCTTCAAGGCCAACCAGACTTGGTTTCGGGTTTCAATAATTTTTTACCAGAGTGGTGTGAGATCTAATTAGATTTCTCAAAAAATCGAATAATTGATTTGTGATTTGTGCTGTCTTACTTTGTTTTAAGAATCGTTATTTAAATAAAAATAATTTCTTATATAAATAGCTAAATAAGGCTGTATGATATTTGTTATTTCTCAAATTTTATTTAATATCAATCTCTTTTTAACTCTTTACTCGCTACATAACATCGACATCAACTAAACCTATGTACTTTTGAGGAGGGAAAGAACGGGTACAAAACGGAAACGGATAATTCAAAAAAAAAATCTAAACTATTTCTCATCAAAAATAAGACAGTATAAAAAATTTGGAAACTTAAATTCAATTTTCAATTTCAAATATCAAATAACGGGTATGATACATGGATATGAAATTTAAATAGCAAAAGCAAGTTTTAAATTACTTAAATATTTCAAATATCAGGGGAAAAAAATGGATACAGAAAAAGAAAGGGTAATTTAATTAGTTAACTACAAGTTATATAATGTTGTTTTTTAATAAAAATATGTAAATAACTTTATTTATATAAAAACAAAATTTACGATCATATCTTAGAGGGAAATAAAAAGGGAACGTATAATGCAAAAAAAAATTATCTAAACTATTTCTCATCAAACAAGACGATATAAAAAATTTGGAAACTTAAATTCAATTTCAACTTTCAAATATCAAATGACGGGTATGATACAAGAATATGAAATTTAAATAGCAAAAGTAAGTTTCGAATTATTTAAATATTTCAAATATCGAGACAAGAAATAACGGATATGAAACGAGAATGGACGGGTAATTTAATTAGTTAATTACATGCTGTATAATGTTATTTTTAAAACTGAAAACATGTAAATGATGTCATTTATATAAAAAATATGATTTTATTTTAGAGGGAGAGAACGGATACAAAAAGGAAACGGGAAATTAAAAAAAAGTATCTAAACTATTTCTCATCAAAAACAAGACAATATAAAAAAATTTGCAAACTTCAATTCATTTTCTACTTTCAAATATCAAATGACGGGTATGATACATAAATATGAAATTTAAATAGCAAAAGTAAGTTTCAAATTACTTAAATATTTCAAATATCGGAGAAAAAATAACGGATACGGAAAGAGAACGGGTAATTTAGAAAATAAAAATTATTATCTCAACTATGTCTAACAATATACAGAAGATAATTATGGGTACAAGGCAAGAAGACATATTATTTATTCATGTGGGTGGGCTAAAATATTTTAATTTTTTCATGACATGCATAGTGAACAGGTTTGATTCTCTTGACATCTATATTTATGTTATTTTATTTAAAAGTTTCAATGTTTTCTATTGTTTTTATGTGATGCGATAGTTTGCGAATTTTTAAATGATTTCTAACTTATCATTAATTCGATTCACAATTGATCCGGATCTCTTATCATGTTGATCCTAATATTGCAAACTTTATGATAAACTTAGATTTTGCAATCAACCCCGTACGTACGTGCGGATCCATCCCTAGTTATAAATTAAATTGATATAACAAAAAATTTGAAAGTCAAAAAATATATAATGAAAGATTTATTATGTATTCTATATTTTTTTTATTGCATTCAAATTGTTTTCTTATTGGAGAATATAATATAACCATTTCGCACTTGAATCACATCTCCATTCATAATTCTTACTAATTTTATAGCTCTCTAATCACATTGTTCTCATACTCAAATCGTAATCTCACTGATCCACCCTAAATAATATATAAATAAAATAAAAAGTAATAATATATAAAGTAAAATAGTTGAATAACGTTTTGGACCTGTGGGTGTAATATAAAATAGATAAATATTTTAAGGAATATGCTATGGAATATTGAGAATCTGAAACCATCAATGTATATAACTAAGACACTGCATCCTAAACCAATACAAAGACAAATTTATCTATAATTTTAGAGATTAGGTGCAAATGAAATAAAAGAGTATTTACATTTAGGATATAGTTCAATATTTTAGGATTTAGAAATTATTATTAAACATTTAAAATTTTAAAATCCAGTTTCTTGATAATTTAAAAAAAATTATATTTTAATAATATTTTTAAAAAATGGATTTTCATATATTTTTCTGGAAAAAGTACTCATTTTAATGGTTATTAAGAAAATTTTCCTTGGTAAAATCAATAAAGTTTATTTATTCTCTAATCTAGTGAGTGAGACAGGAGAAGGTGAAATACACGTGCACTATATTGCGAGTGAGTGGTGTAAAACATAATCTATTATTACAAAAGAGAACAATGACGTTTAAAGCAAGGAAAAAAGATACATACCTACATGAAGTATGTTACCACATCCGAAGTTTAAAAATGTATCTCTAACTACACAAATTATATGTATTGCATGCCCACATATATGAACTATATGTAGTCATGTCGTCAACATCACGAACATTTTTCCGGTACACTTTTAGCCAGAATCCGGCATTGACCCATTTGACCGGCATTGACCAATATTAATATTCAAAAAAAAGATTTTTTTTTAAGTTTTTATTATTTTAAAAATAGGTTTTTGAATCATTTATATTATTGTATAATTAAGAAAATATATACAATTTTTAATATAAAAATATTTTGTATATATATATTCAATGCATTGATTTTTATAATTAGTTAGTTTCGATAATTTCAAAGCTAAACAAAAAAAAAACTAATTAGGAATAATAATAATAAACAGAAAATTTTCCTATTTTTAAAAATATTCGGACATGAGTATCATATGGTTTAATATTTGAATATTTAATATATAATATGTGAATTTTAAATATTAAAGCATTAGAATCAAACCAATTATGTGTGAATTTTATTCTACTAGTTATAAAAATCGTTAGATCTTCTATCTTATAAATATTAAAAAGAAACCTTGTGATTTTTATTTATTTTTAAGTGTTATTTTTATTATTATTTTACCTAATTGGTTTTTTTATTTTAGTTTAGTTTTGAAATTATCGAAACTAACTAATTATAAAAAACAATGCATTGAATATATATACAAAATATTTTTATATTGAATATTGTATATATATTTTTTTAATTTACATTATTATAAATGATTCAATAACATAATTTCTAAATATTAAAAAACTAAATTTTTTTTTTTTAATATTTGTGTTGGTCTACGCCGGTAAAACTGGTCAACACCGGATTCCGACGAAAAGTGTACCGAAAATAATGTTCGTGATGTTGGCGACATGACTACATATAGTTCGTATATGTGGACATGCAATACATATAGTTTGTGTATTTAGAGATACATTTTTAAATTTTGGATGTGTGGCCATATATTGTATCATACTTCATGTAGCTGCGTATCTTTTTTCCTTAAAGCAATGTTACTCTGTTACGCGCTGACGCATCTCTTAACCTTTTTAGGTTCTGTACTATCTTAGTCAAGTGTTTGTGTTTGGAAAGTATCTTAATCAGACGGTTAGGGTTGTTTATTTATTACTAGCCGCAATTTCTAAATTTAACAAAAAAAAATAAATAAAATAAATAAAAACTTTTGTAGTTGTCTATTGAAACCAGAGAAAAGCCAAAGGGGATGCAATCAACATCCGTCGGTAGTAGCGGCGGTGGAGACGACGGAGCAAACAGAGGAGGAGGAGGAGGAGGGCAAGTGAGTCGAAGTGGTCTATCTAGGATCCGTTCAGCTCCAGCTACTTGGCTTGAAGCTTTACTTGAAGAAGATGAAGAAGAGTCTTTAAAACCTAATCTTGGTCTCACCGATTTGCTTACCGGGAACTCGAACGAGTTACCCGCGACAACGAGTCGCGGTGGCTCGTTTGAGTTCCCGATTCCGGTTGAGCAAGGGTTGTATCAACAAAGTGGGTTTCACCGACAAAATAGTACTCCGGCGGATTTTCTAAGTGGCTCTGATGGATTTATCCAAAGCTTTGGGATTCCGGCGAACTACGATTACTTATCCGGGAATATCGATGTTTCTCCGGGAAGTAAACGGTCTAGAGAAATGGAAGCTCTCTTCTCTTCTCCTGAGTTTACTTCTCAAATGGTAATAAAAGATTTGTTTCTTAAATTGGGGAGTGTTTTTTTTTTTAACTTACCAAAAATAGGATGAACTTAACTGACTTTAGTACTTGTTTTAGATTTGTCAAGTTGTCTGAAAATTGTAGTTAAATTGCTGACCCAAAGTTCTCGAGATTGAAAAGACCATGTCTTGTCTTAAAATTGACAAGTTGTTGTATATTTTCTGAACCAAAGCTAGCAGCAAGTTGCAGTTTTTATTTTAACAAAAATAAAAAAAAAGTTGCAGTTTTATTTCTCCTTTTGTTGTAGTCTCTGTTGCTCTGAGGTGTGATGTAAACATTAAAAAAATACTCCTATGGGCAAATTGCTGAGAAGAACATAAGTCTAAATTATTTGCTAATGTCGATTTTGGTGGCTAATGTATATATATATGTATTGATCGTCCACACCATTTGGTACATTTGTATTGTGTGATGTTGATTCAGGTTTTTAAGTGCTGATTGGCTCTTTTTCGGAATTGTTGTTGTTCTGTAAGTAGAAAGGAGAGCAAAGCAGCGGTCAAGTTCCTGCCGCGGCATCAAGCATGGTTGATATGAACATGGAGAACCTTATGGAGGACTCTGTTGCTTTCAGGGTTCGTGCTAAACGTGGTTGTGCTACTCATCCTCGTAGCATTGCCGAGAGGGTAAAAAATATATAATGTCTACTTTCAGTTCATTGAAGTTTTGTGATAAAGTTTTATAGTTTTGCTTTTAACTCATGGAAGTTTAGCGATAAAAGAGATTCTATATTTTGTCTTTGATTCATGGAAGTTAAGTGATTTATTGTATGGTTCATTGAACAGAGAATGGTTCTGTTTTTGTTGTCCTTGCATGTTTTTGATTAAGCATTTATAATGTATTCTTCTGATGTTTCATTTTGTAGGTACGGAGAACGCGAATAAGCGATCGGATAAGGAAGCTACAAGAGCTTGTACCTAATATGGATAAGGTAAAATATCGTTTTCAGTGTAGATACAATCTGATGTTAATGATAATGAATGCTTAGCTTTTATACATGTTTTCATCAAGGGTAGAAGTTAGTGGTTAATTAATAGGTTAGCCTTAAGGAGACAATCAAATGTGGATTATTTTTTTTAAAAGACAATCAAATATGAATGTTGATAGCTGCGATCCAACTTCACAATTGCGGTTATCATCTCTGGTAGGTACCAAGTAATACCCATACTGTGGTTTTATAAAGTTTAATCAATTAAAATCGAATGGGATCTCGAATTGTTGTCCCCTTAGATCTATAGTAAAAGCTTAGATGTCGCCGGTTCGAGTAGCGCCTGGGACGAGACTATATAACATGTTCTGGTCTCGGGCCTGAGGAGATGTAGGGGTTTCGGTCTAGAACCTCTTTGATTATTCAAAAAAAAAAGTAGTATGAATTTGGGTTTCTCTCTTTGTAGATTATGAACAAACTTACAAACTGAGGAAAACTAAGGGTTCTCGCATGTGTATAGCGATATAGGCTCTGAGGATATATGTTTATTTTTTATTTTTGGTCTTTGTTACAGCAAACCAATACTGCAGACATGTTAGAAGAAGCTGTAGAATACGTGAAAGTTCTTCAAAGGCAGATCCAGGTAAATTATCTAAAGTTAATATATGAACCCAATAGATGAAATTAAAAATTATAGTCAAAAAAATTATATAGTAAAAAATGAGATTTAAAGATTCTAATAATCCATTTTTGATTTGGTTTTATATTGGTGTGGATAATTTAGGAGTTAACAGAAGAACAGAAGAGGTGCACATGCATACCTAAAGAAGAAGAACAATAAGGTTTGCTCATGATTTGTTAATAAGTGGCAATGATCTGATCGAAAAATTCGAAAGATGATCTTAGCTTTTGAGTTAGATGGGTACTACTGTCAGGTTGATAACTATATTATTTGATAAATGGATCTATGTAGGTGTAATATATATCATTTTTGTACAATAATGAAGAAAGTTAACAAATTATTCAAAACATATATATATTCTTTATAAACTTTGTGAAATAACTTTGAGGATCTATATATCTATCGTTAACTGGTTTGATGATTCATCGGGAAACGAGAATATAGAGTCTGCTTGATTGGGGAAATATCAAATTTTAAAAGAAAATGACTTGACTTAGATGGAGGAGAAGAGAGCTATGTTGAAGTCATTGATCCTTGTTTTCATGTTTGGTCTTCTCAATATCTCTAACCTATAAAAATTTCACTAAATAGATACATGTTGAAGTCATTGAGCAACGTTAAGTCATTGGAGGACTCAAGACTCCTATGTGGTGTGTTTGTTCAATTAGAGGGAAAAACAGCCCATTAAGGGCCCAAGTTGAGTAAAGTCACACAAAGACAGCCCATTAAGGGCCAAAGTTGAGTAAAGTCACACAAAGACAGCCCATTAAGGGTCCAAGATGAGTAAAGTCACACAAAGACAGTCCATTTAAGGGCCCAAGTTGAGTAAAGTCACACAAAGACAGCCCATTTAAGGGCCCAAGTTGAGTAAAGTCACACAAATCAACAAGTTTGCTACTGTATGGTATAATTTGGTATCTTTGTTGCCGCAACAAACCTTAAACCCTAAGCAGTAGCAGCAAAAAATATTGTGCTAACTTCGCACCTTTGGTCTTCTCTGTTGTTGCTTTGGTATGTGAGAGCTCTACTTTGGTTTAATGGGATTTACAAGTGTTTATAAATGTTATAAAATGATTTACAAAAGTTGTAAAAGGTTTGCTAAAGTCTTTAAAGGTTTTGGATGATTATTAAAAGATTTACAAGAGTTTTAAAAATATTTACAAGGTTTTCTAAAAAAAGTTTTAAGGAATTGCAGAAAAATTATGGCTGAAATTCTTTTGCGGGAAAATTTTTGTCCGGATTTTTTGGCAGGAAAATTTTTTGTAGGGAAAATATATGTCGGAAATTTTTGGCGGAAAATTTTTCGAAAGAAATTTTTTTTTGTTGAAAATAATTTTTTTTTCTTCATTATGGGTTATACTTTTTTAGTGATTTTCTACATAGAATACGATAATTTAGTGATTTTCTACATAGAATATGGTATTTTTAAAAATAGACACCAAGAGAGGGTATTTTTACAAAAGGGTAACCTAAAAAGTTATTTGTGCAAATCTCCCTTTTAAATTAGTTAGAAATATATTATGAAATAAAAAAATTTAGATATAGAAATAATCTAATTTGCTGGAAAAGTATCCGATTTTATGTCCAAACCTATTTAAATATCCGATTTTGAAATATCCAGTTATTTAATTTCGGAGTAATTTTTAATTTTGACCCGATCTATATAAAAAATAAAAGAGTACTTTTTTATTATTATAGAGGAGTTGTTGAATAATCTAGAGCATGTGAACGTTGTTACAGGAGTACTCAAGAATTGTTTGACGAAGTTGCAAAACACATAGTGGGTGCAAATAATGAAAAAAAATAGATATATTTATATACAAATGATTGAGAACAATCAAAATTTGGAAACTAGTTCATAAGGCTACCTAACTAGAACCTAACTAGAGTCAAGTGGATCTACATGCTAAAAAAGTGATGCAAAAGTAAACAAGCTGAAGTGTTACTACACAATACACAACCTATCAAAATGTGCCATGTGATTAAGCTGCTTAGTTTAGGAGCGCCCCTTAAACAAATTAACCATTTAATCTTTAATTTTAACCTTTTTAATACTAAGAATTTTACTAAAGTCAATAAAGAGGAAAAGCCAGCCCATTAAGGGCCCAAGTTGAGGAAAGTCACACAAATTAACAGACCTAAACCCTAAGCAGTAGCAGCAAAATTCTTGTGCTAAACTCCCACCTTTGGTCTTCGCCGTTGTTGTTGCTTGGGTTTAGAGCACTAAAACTCTCACAACGTTGGCTAAGTTTTCTTCTAAGGTGCTAAGAAGATGGAAGGATCAAAGATGAGAAAAAACCAGAGAACAATACAATCTTCAGAGCATATTCCTTTTGATTTACTCGTGGAGATATTCTCAAGACTGCCAACAAAATCTATAGTGAGATTTAGCTCCCTTTCAAAGCTCTGGTCGTCAATACCAAGCACTCCATGTTTCATCGACTCGGTCGTGACACGGTCCTTGTCATCACGGCATTGTGTTATGCTAATCTTTAAAAAACACGACAAGCTCTACTTTTTTGCATCTCCCCTACACACTGGTCCTAAAGTGGAGAGTTATCAGTTTACAATCCCCAACAACGGTAATATTCGACGTTACGAATCCGTCCACGGCTTGGTTTACTTGGAAACTGGTAGAGGTATTCATGACATGTTTATTAGAAACCCTATCACGAAAAGCTTCTTCACTTTACCTAAACTTGATCGCATCAACCAAGGCAAACCCCTAGCAGGCTTTTTGGGTTATGATCCGATCAACGGTAGACACAAAGTAGTATGTGTTCTGTTAGAAGAAGACAAGATTGGGATTCTTACATTGGGAGCTCAAGAATCATGGAGAATACTAACTAAAGGCTTCCCTAATCATCGCCATGTGGCAAGGTAGTTCGCGATGCGTTGATGGAGTTATCTACTATGAAGGTTATTTTTATCGTGCATTCGTAATAGTGCGTGCCATAATGAGTTTTGATCTCAAATCTGAAAAGTTCATTATGATTGAACATCCCAAGAAATATCAAAAAGGTGTAATTTGGGCATCTTTTGAGGGAAGACTAGCTTTGGTAAGTTCAACTCCCTCTGGAGTTGAATTATGGATTCTTGAGGTTGGAGAGAATCACCATAATTGGACATGTAAACATTTCCCTTCACCTCATGCTTTCGACAAAGCAATATGGAAGTTGAACGGTGTTACTGAGACCGGTGAATTTGTTTACACATCTATTAGAAAGTATAAACTTATGACTATGGATAGGGTTTTATATCAATGGTTTCGTATCTTGTATGTTGATCCGGAGAGAAACAGTATGAGAGAAGTTATGCATGGAGGAATCGCCATTGACGATATTATGCGACTTGATGAAGTTGGATATGATCTTACCAAAGAATTGACTGTTATACCACATCACATTCAGATTTGAGTCATCATAAAGTCGTGGTATTGATGTAATAATGTTACCTGATCATTGAAGTCTTTAGCTTTAGTACTCTTCTGTATTGGTTTCTATCTTCTTCAATAAAACTATACCTTATGCAGAGGAACTCAAGAACATTATTTTCATAATCAAGAAAATATATATGTTTTGTTATTTAAGATTAATAATAAGTTAGATAAGAGAATCATGATCATCTCTATCTATTGAGATCGCAATACTTTCACTGATTATATTTCCAAGCATATAAAAGAGACTTAATGCCTTTAAAAGCAGTAGAGATAAAGACCTGAGAAAGTAAACTGCAATAAAGAGTGAAAAGGGTTATACCTTATGTTAACAGTCATATAGCTCGACTATATTCCCGATGTTCCGGTAGTTTTCTTCGAAGTCATCGATATAATATGAAATGCTAACCTATTGATGAAATAAGAACACATATGACTAAAACAAGTTGATAGCAAACATGATCTTCTACCTATTGATTTTGCTTTTTGTAAGCATCAAGACCCATCATCACCTAAGAATCATTAGATTGAGTTCAATACCTCATCAAGTCGTACGCTACATGTTTTAGTAGTGCATATAACGAGCTGAGATCCATTACATAAGTCACATTTGATCTTCCAGTTTCATCAAGCTTTTCCTGTCTAACACATACGTATGAATCTACAACTTTTGAGCAAAAGGAGACAATATAATCAACTTCAATAAATAACTATATCAATGTACGAACTAACTAGAAAAACACATATTATCATGAAGCACCTCAATCAACCACGTCCAGATCAAGCTCTTTTAACCTGCAAATTTAAAATAACAATCATTAGAAACAAAGATTGTGGTGTAACATTAACATAAAATTTAGGATCAGTCCAATGTTTTAACATACACAACAGATTTCCCATGTATTTCTACACAACCATTAATCCATTCTGATTTCTCATTCATGCACCACCAATATTCAGTTTCTGAGTTAGAGACTCATCGTTAGAAGAGTCTAAAACCGAGCCGAAGCATTTGTATAAGTAACAAGGGGCATAATTTCTCAGTCATGCACCACCATCAATCAGTTTATGATTTAGAGACTCATCGTTAGAAAAGTCTAAAACCGAGCCGAGGCATTTGTATAAGTAACACGGGACTTATTTCTTAGCCATGCACCACCGTCACTCTGTTTATGATTTAGAGACTCAACGTTATTAGAGTCTAAATCCGAGCCGAGGCATTTGTATAAGTAACACGGGACTTATTTCTTAGCCATGCACCACCGTCACTCTGTTTCTGATTTAGAGACTCAACGTTATTAGAGTCTAAAACCCGAGCCGAGGCATTTGTATAAGTAACACGGGACCGGTAAAGAGGTAATTTAGATTACCTCATTTCATCTACCAACTTCATATCCAAGAACTCATCATGAGACGAGTCTAAAATCGAGCTGAGGCAATTAATTAGGCAACATGGGACATAATTTCTCGTTCATGCACCAACAACAATCTGTTTCTAAGTTAGAGACTCATCATTCGAAGAGTCTAAAACCGAGCCGAGGCATTTGTATAAGTAGCACGGGACTGGTAGTTTCGTGCACCAACATTCACCCATATCTTATTCAAAAACTCATCATAAGAAGAGTCATAAACTGAGCCGAGGCATTTGAATAGGCAACAAGGGACTGTTAAAGAGGTAATTTAAATTACCTCATTTTATATCGAAGAACTCAACATGAGGAGAGTCTAAAACTGAGCCGAGGCATTTGAAAAGGCAACACGGGACATAAGTTTTCATTCATGCACCACCAACAATCTATTTATGAGTTAGAGACTCATTGTTAGACGAGTCTTAAACTAAGCCGAGGCATTTGTATGAGTAACACGGACTGGTAATTTCGTCCATCAACATCCACCCAATTTTTATTCATAAACTCATCATAAGAAGAGTCATAAACTGAACCGAGGCATTTGAATAGGCAACAAGGGACTGTTAAAGAGGTAATTTAAATTACCTCATTTTATATCGAAGAACTCAACATGAGAAGAGTCTAAAACTGAGCCGAGGCATTTGAAAAGGCAACACGGGACATAATTTTTCATTCATGCACCACCAACAATCTATTTCTGATTTAGAGACTCATTGTTAGACGAGTCTTAAACTAAGCCGAGGCATTTGTATAAGTAACACGGGACTGGTAATTTCGTCTACCAACATCCATCCAATTTTTATTCATAAACTCATCATAAGAAGAGTCATAAACTGAAGTGTAAATCTAAGGTATCTCCTAATTATAATCACTGTAAAGCTTCTTTCTTGACTCAACCACAGAAACGTAAAAGAGCCAGTTATGAATGTTAAACAGTATAATAAGTATTGACAGACACAACACCAAATCTAACCTTTTCCATTTGCTTTGCTCCACTGGTCTCCAATCCAATAGTGTTCTGAATGTTGGAAGGTCCAACAGTACCCTGTTCACATGTACAAGAGATCATCAGAACACTGAGCCTATCTTTCCCAAGAAACAAAACTAGTTGAATCGACAATGAATTACTACAAGAGAAAGTTTCAGCACCTAGTATAATAAAGTAATTTACGACAAATCCTAGAACCAATGTCCTAAAAAGAGGCAGAACACCAAAACAATTACATGTGTTGTGAAAAGGCTAACACTTTCTGACATTATACTCACAAATCAAGTAATCTACGAAGTAGCACACATGACCAAATTTTGTGTGAGCCACAACATTCTGAACAAAGACAGTTTCTTCATAACGTCTGAGGAAGTTATAGTAAAGTGACTTAAAAGTCTAATCACATAGCTGTTATGGTCATTCTAAGGTTTGTGTGTTCAGTAAACACCTGAGAATACAAGAAGGTTCCAAGGATACGGCTCCAAGGGGATTAAAACCCAAATCTTAATTAGTACAATTTAGTACAACAAAATATCAAAAAAGTTCAATACTTTAATCTATACAAGAAGCTAAACTATGACTTATTGATAATTTTACCTATTGATATTTCAGAATTTAGCTATGAAATTCAGAAATCCCTAACCAACGATCAATAATCAAAATAAAACCCAAACCACAATATATTGCGAAATTCGAAACCAAACCCACACGATCATAGGATTAGCAAAGCAAGAGATCATAAAGTACCTGTTCGTTGAGAATTACTCGAAAAATCAAATCCGTCGAGAGCGATGTATGATGCGGCGGCGTAGAACTTCTCTGGGTAAGCAGAGGCGGAGGTTGCAATACTCATCGGCCATATCCAAGTTTCTCTCTCTCTCAACTTCGTCAGTGGATTTGATCGGAGATGTATTTGATTTTGATCGGAGATGGAGTCGAAACCCTAATTCGAGAAATTAGAAATCAGAAACAGAGACTGTGTATATATTACTCATTTGTCCAAAACTACACCGTATTGTAACGGCACTATGACACCTGTACAGTAGTTTCTGCGTTAAAACTACGTCGTATTGTAGTGATTAACGGTAATAATAATTTGAAAAACAATTAACATTATTTCCTTCGAAACGTTGTCGTTTAAACTTCACAGTTATTTAACGGTAATAATAACTTCACAGTTTTTTAAGACGAGGAAATTATAAGATTTTCGAAAATATCTAGGGTTAATATGAAATAATAGCTATGGAAGATCAACAAATTAAGTATCTAACTCTAGTTATTTTTTAATTAGTTCTCTTTATTATCTATAACAATGTGGACAAAAATGACTATACATATATTATAATTGTTGTTAGTGATCTGATGAAATAGATATCGACGAAATTAATCAAACTCATTTCACATGTGATGATAATTGTAATCTTTTGAATCTTGGATAACAATCAAATTAGCAACGTATATAACATTGCTAATAAATAAGTTAGTTGATATCAGTTATATCAAAAAATGATTTGACATGATAATTATGAGTTTACCATATAACTTGTAAAGATATCGCGGTACAATATGGTTGAACACGATATATTTATAAACTTAGATATATATATATATATATATATATATATATATTAATTTGTTATCGTGTTAATCTAATAAATAATCATCTAACTCATTTATTTTTTCCCGAACAATATCATCAAATTTTGGTTTAAAATATTTATATTGATATCAATTTGTTAACTTATTGTGACATCATATTATTTATCATGATAAATAAATAATTATACACTAAAAATTACAAACTATCTTATGCGATTAGTTTCGTCATTGCTAAACTACATATGTGAGAGAACTAATTACTAATTTATGAATACCAAACCTTTTGTTTTCATCTGTGTATATACTTTTACATCACTCAAATGTCTAACCCAACCATTGGTTTCATAAGCTACACAATTATATCGAAACGAACTAACCCGTACCATTGAGACAAGACAGTATTTAGTGAATGCACGTATCACTTTCTATCTCAGTCGTTAGAAACATAAGTAGAACAGAAGCTTGAGAAAGAAGTAACTAACATATATAAGACAAAGATTTATATATAGACAAAGGTCGTTAGACTGAGATTGTTAATAAAGGAAAGACAAAGTATGTATAATTAATTCTTTAAGAAAAGTGATTGTGAAGTTGTGACGTACATTGTTCTGTCTTGCAACAATGCTAATTTGCCACAAAGACTGCAAAGACTTGACTGTTATACGACATCACATTGATGAGATTTGAGACTTTTCTTCATCATAAAGTCGTGCTAATGAAGTAATAAAACCTGACTTTGAAGCAAAAACATTATTGAAAAATTTAGCTTAGTCTTCTGTATTGGTTTCTATCTTCTTGAATAAATATACCTTATATGGGTAATGATCTGAGCAAAAACTTCGAAAGATGATCTTAGATTTTTATGGTCGAAGTAAGCATATACATAGGAGATACCACTTCATTAGAGAACGTGTTGAGTACAGGCAAATAGAAGTTGAACACGTTCCCAGGGATTAGCAAAAGGCGGACATTTTAAAAGCTCTTAAAGAATCAAGTTCAAGGAGATGAGGATTCTCATTGGCGTAAGAGACATGAGAGAAGATTACTTCAAGATTAAGAGGGAGAATGTTGGATAAACTTTGAAATTAACTTGAGTTAGAAGTTATCCTAATCCTAACCGAGTCATGGTTATCGAAGAGATAAAGATTAAAGGTGTTTAGGAGTTATCTAAACATAAGTATTTCCTTATAGAATTAGGATTGGTGTTTTATATAAATAGAGATATCGAGTCATGACATAATGTATGAGTTTTAAGAGAGAGATTGAGAGTTTAAGTTTTCAGTTATTTTCTTAAGGTAATAAAAATGAGTTAAACTTTTGTTGATCTTGTGCTCTTAAAACAAACTTTGATATTCTATATTGGAAAGGGAGCTAAATCTCACAATCGATTTTGCTCGCAGTCTTGAGAATATCTCCACGATTAACCCAAACGGAATTAATATGCTCCATCTTGGCAAAGATGATGTGGTAATTTTACTACATATTTTAGTTATGTCATTCTTGGCATTCTAGTTATATATACCAATCTAACCAAGGGTACAAACCACTCATTTTAGACCTTGTTCCATCTTGGTTTACAACTCTCCAAAATAGAAAGTCCAAATTCGTGAATAGGGAATTCGTCGACACTTATGCTGAGAGAAATTATATTAGTCGGTCACTTTCCAAAGCATTTTAAATCTTTGACACTAGATTTTGTGAAGTACCAACTAGTAATTAGTCTCGGTTCTTAAGTTAACTAGCTAACTAGGTTTGTACTCAACTAGGTTTTAAATTCGGTTTATATTCACCATTTAGTCTCTACTCGTCAAAAATCAATGAATCAACACTAAAATATGGATATCAATATATCTTGTAATTAACCATAAAATCATAACATTAATCAAAATAGAGCATAGCACCAATTATCTCAGTCACGGATTGTTTCGTCCCATTCAATCATTTTTGGAACTTTGCCTAACTTTTAAAGTTAAAAAGGACATAACGCGTTGAACATTACAATTGACATGTCGGCCTCATGGAAGAACCCAAGTTCTAGTTGAAGCATCCGGAATATGGAAGAGGAATTTCGAATCATCTAGCTTGCGCATAAATATTCTACACTTCCTACCCCAAATTCTATTAATTAACCACCGCATGAATCAAACCACCAGAAGGAGGATTACATCTATAGAACTGACCTAAAATATATTCCTTCTGATTCTCAAGACCTTGCAACATGACATGACTTGGAATTGTTACTTTCGGAGTACCGTTGGAAAATAAAATATTCTTTTAGAATTTCACAAATTTTAATTAATCATAAAATCTAATTAAAATATATTTAACATCCCTAAATAAAAACCTCCCTTTGGAAATGCTCTTTTGACCCGTGCAAACACAAGATTTTGTGAGGTACCAACTAGTAGTATCCGTCTTCTTTTTAATTAGACCCGGTTCTTAAGTTAAGAGTCAGTACTAGAAGTATATATTCTCGTACTCAACTAGGATTTGAATTCGGTTTATATTCATTATTTAGTCTACTCGTTAAAAATCAATGACTCAACACTATAATATGGATATCTATATGAAAAAAAATGAAAAAAATATGGATATCTATATTGTAATTTACCATGAAATACGAAAATTAATCATACTATATCAAAGCATTAGTCTCTTGTATCGGAATATTTCCATATCTATTCTATCAACTATCACACGGATTGTTTCGTCCCATTCAATCATTTTTGGAACTTTGCCTAACTTTTTTGCATAATATAGAATACATACTAAAGTTAAAAAGGACATAACGCGTTGAACATTACAGTTGACATGTAGGCCTCAAAGTTTCACCGTACATACAACGTCAAATTTTCAAAGATACCCACAAACCATTTTTGTGTGTGTGTGAGTTTTTAATCTTTACCGACATATAAGGTTGATATGATTGATAATAAGACCACATATTTTTCCACTAGTTCTGTGCCCACTATCATAATAACGACTTCTTTTGTGGAAATCATTCGTTTTTTTTTTAAGTATGGATTTATAAATAAGTAGATGTGTATTTTCTCAACACCAAACTTCAAAAAGGGATAAAATATTATAAGAAAAATGAAGGAGAAGAGAGCTTTGTTGAAGTCATTGATCTTATTCATGTTGTTTTCTACTTTAACCATCGAAATGGTGGCTGCGGAGAGCTACTGCAAGGCGCAACGTCGGGTATTAGTGAACGCGTGCAAGAGGTTGATTTTTAGGCAGTCTCCGACCATTGATTGTTGTGTTAGAATAAGGAGAACTCCTATGTGGTGTGTTTGTTCTATTGTAACTCCTCAGCTCGCAGCTCTCGTTAATGCTAATGATGTCACTTACATTGTTGGGGTCGTTCGTCGATGCGGTCGACCCGTAGCTCGCGGTACTAAGTGTGGAAGTAAGTGTAAAAAGTGTATATACCAATCAATCACAGTTAGTAATATGATATGTTACCATATGTTCATATCGATCTTATTAGTGTTTGCATGTTCTTTGTTTCTTCTTTTCTAATCAAGAAACAAAATATGATTTACATATTTTTCTTAATAAAAGAACTAGTACATGTCTAAGGTTTGCATTTCCAATCTTTATATTATGAGAATCTACAAAATGTTTTTGTTAATAAAAAGTGAATATTATTTCATAGTCTATACAATCATTTTTTTTTGACATTACGTTCGTGATGTGTAGGTCTTACAGCTCCATGACCATGATCAGTTCGTGGCGGATAAGAAAACATCGGCGTGTATGAATACTATCGTCTATAAAGCAATATGTAATTGTCCGTTGAAGCGTTGTCTTAGTTATGCCACTAATCCTATATGTGGAATAAACTAGTTTTTACAAAAATCTTATATCCAATTTGAATAAATTCACTTCACGGACTAAGTATGTGGATAGATACTATGTGTTTTTAAATTAAAACTAGATTGGGAAATAATTATATTGGAAGGTCTTTTTATTTGGATCAGCAAGTCAATGAGTTGACTGAGTCGGTTCAAGTACGATAAATTGAGTTTTTTTATTTTTTCATCTAATTATTTTAAAGATGTAAAATAGATATCTTTGGTAACCTTAAAAAACAAAAATGTATATTCTACTACATGGACTATTTTAAATCTAAGATACATTTACAACTAGCTATCACTAAGCTTTTTAACAAACTCCTAAACATCCCATATATATGAAAAGTAGAAGTATATTTGTGAATCGAGTTGGATCAATTTAAAAATTTTAACTCGTAAACTGTATTTGGATACTTTAAAATTGGATATTTAATTAGGTTTGAATATAAATCGGATACTTCTCCAGCTGATTATATTATTTTCATATCTAATTTCAGATTTACTAATAGTACTCTAACTAAATAAAAATATATATTAAAAACAATATTATCATTTATAATTTCATCTTTATTTGATTTTTTTAAAAAATTTATATATTATCATATATAATACAAATTTATAAGAAAAATTCAATAATAATTTTTTACATATATTGCAATTTGAAATTTTTTCAAAGCAGATATATATTACTCGACTGACAAAAAAACGTGTATGTACAACGTCCCACATCGGCTAAAGTATTTTTTGAAAATAATTCAGATCATTATAAATAAGACTAACATGTTTTGAACTATAAATGAGCAATAAACTTGATATATCATGCATCCAAATTTAATTTTTTTTTGTCAGGTTTGTATGAATTGATGCATTGACTTGGCTAGTTATATTAAACCACTGGGAATCATCAAAAAGCGTGTTAGACGAGCAGTTAGAGAAACCCTAAGTGACAAGTATACCAAAAGTCTGTTCCAATTCTCGTTTAATAGTGACAGTAGTAATGGCAGAGAATAGCATACAATCATTTCATATTATACTGAATTTTGTACATGAAAATAGAATTAATCGTATGGACAATCCCAAGCAATTTACGTCATGTATTAACAAATGTGTTACAATTCTAACAAATAAAAGATACAAAATATCCGACATTAGTTTTGCATAACATACACAACTAGCATTATGATAATTACAAACATAGTGTACGTATTTTCTTTTGATTTGAGGTAAGATCATTATTCTTTTCCCTTTTTTTTTGCATAACAAGAGTAATATGCATCTCTTACATATTTCCATATATTTGGCATATGTTCTAATATAATTTTCCATATTTTATCTACTTTTACTTAAAAAATTTGAAGAATCATTCGGTATTTTAAAGAAAAATACCAGTTAAGAAAATGTGCTATGCATGTGCAGTTCTATATGATTTTATGTCTACAATAATAATCAAACATATATACATATGATTAAATTTATGATTTTTTTTTATGTTTCAAAAGTTTTGTTTGGTTTACTAATATGTATTTAAATACAACTCAAAAATTTAACCACTATAGCACTAAATTTGTGAATCAAATTAGTACGATGGGAGATTAATTGTTAGTACGAAGTTATTCAATTACTAGGAGATGTACTTTATTTAATTGACTGAAAGGAGTGTTTTAATCAATATATTTTTACTATATATATATTATGTTATAAATATATAGCATAATTCTGATAAATACTATTAAAATGAGGTTTTTCCAAAAAAATACCATTATTAATTTTATTTTCCAAAAATATCAAAACTAAACTAAACCCTAAATCCTAAACACTTTTTACCTTAAAACTATATTCTAAAAATAAATTAATCAACAAAAACCTAATAATTTAAACTCTACTAATCAATTTTTGTGTTATGGTATGTTTGGAAAACAAAATTTTTAATAATACTTTTGAAAAATTAAACAAGTAGTGGTATTTTTGGAGAAAAACTTGAAAGTGTTGTATTTTGAGAAATTCATATACCACAATCACGTGAGTTAGTAACTTTGAAACCAAGTTTTACATAATAAAATTTTCTGAATTAACATAAAAAATCCATTATAATTAGGTATACATTTATATGTATTACTTACGTAGAATTATTTATGACAGGTTTATAAAAATTTAATTTTAAAATATTTTAATATATCTTAAATTTACACATGTCAATATTTTTCGATACAATTGACACATTTCACATTAATGACTAACTTATTTCGATTAACTTACTAAGTAAAAATATTTAAATATTACATAATATTCACGATAATGCAAATATTTTGTAAGATTAACTTATAGTTAACTAACTTATCGTATTTTTTATAACCAAAAAAAACTTATCGTATTTTTTTTCTTTATTTGTTAATTCTTTTATTCCTTAGACTTAATTTTTAATTTTTATTAATAATTTTATTTTATAATTACTATCCTTTTTCCTAGGCCTGGATGTTTTGGTACTCGTTCGGGTTGTTGGGTTTAGAGATATAGAACCCATTCTGGTATTTCTAGATTTCAGCTTCATATCGGGTTCGGATCGGGTATTTCAAGTTCGGATTCGGATTACCCAAAATTCTTAAAACTTAAAATTTAAGTATGCAAATATTTCCAAACTACTAAAAAATCTCAAAACCTATATAAATTTTGACACAAATTTATTTTTAAAAAGAGTTTATAACTTTTAAAAATCCAAAATATACAAAAAAAAACTGAATAAATTTGACATTAACTTATTGTAAATATATATTATTAATAAATTATTCTATATATTTATATTATCGGTGTATTTGGATATCCGTTCGCGTTTCGGTTCGGTTTGGGTTCGGATTCAGATTTTCGGATTTAGAGATGCAAATTTTTATTAATATTACAATTGTATGCAAATATTTACTGGATTTGGGCCTTAAATTATGATAAACGGAGGCCCAATGACACCATAAATGTAACGAATATTCTCTAGCTCTAGAATGTTCTTCTTCACCTAGGATTAGGGTTACAAATTAGTGCAGACTATATAAACTCTGTTTTGCCTCTTACGAGTCACAAGCAAGCATCAACAATGGAGCAAACTTTCATCATGATCAAGCCTGACGGCGTCCAGAGAGGACTCGTAAGCTTCCCTTACCCACTTCGTACTTACTTGTTGATCTTGATGTGACTTTGGTTTGGATTGCTTCTGCTTGAAGAATTGAGACTTGACAAAGATTTGTGTCTGTTTGTGTTTGGTTTTATAGATCGGTGAAATCATCTGTAGGTTTGAGAAGAAGGGTTTCACTTTGAAAGGTATTGAATCTGATACCAAACTTGTTTGAATGGTTTTGGATTATAAGATTGGAGATTTCTTAGATCGGATTTGAGGTTATTAGTGTCACTTCCGTATGAAATTGAGGATTATGTGATGTGGAACAGAGAAATCTCATGACTTTATACTCTTAGATAGTTCAATAGAGTTTGATTGGCTTGACAAAGATTTTGCATGTGTTGCGTAATAGATTTTAGATTATAGTACTGTGCTGTGTTGTAGACAGGTCTGTGGTTATGGTTGGTTAAGTTTCTGGTCGTTTTGTATTATGTAAAGGTTATTAGTGTCACTTTCATGATCAGATAACTTAAAATTGAGGATTATGTTATAATTTGGAGATGAGAGAGAGATATCAAGATTTCATACTGGCTTGCCAAGGACTTTGCATGTGTTGTGTAATAGAATTTAGATTTATAGTACTGAGTGTGTTGCATACAGGTCTGAGGTTATGGTTGTGTCTAGTTTCTGGTCGTTTTGTGTTATCTTACATGTGCTTTGGTGTTGTAGGTTTTAGTTTATGGTATCTGTGTCTAAGATTTGTGTTTTGTGCAGGTCTGAAGATGATCAGTGTAGAGCGTTCTTTTGCTGAGAAGCACTACGCAGACTTGTCTTCAAAGCCTTTCTTCAATGGACTTGTTGAGTACATTGTGTCTGGACCTGTTGTTGCTATGATCTGGGAAGGAAAGAATGTTGTCTTGACCGGACGTAAGATCATTGGAGCCACAAACCCAGCAGCTGCTGAGTCTGGAACTATCCGTGGTGACTATGCAATTGACATTGGAAGGAATGTGATCCACGGAAGTGATGCCGTCGAGAGTGCACAGAAGGAGATTGCTTTGTGGTTCCCTGATGGACCTGTCAACTGGCAGAGCAGCGTTCACCCTTGGATCTATGAATGATCTGTTGCTTTTGCAGTAGTGTGTTTTCGATATTCTCGACATTGTTTGCTTTTGTGATGACTCCTGTGCTTTAAGTTGAATTTGATTCTCCCTCTATATTTACTTCTACGTATGGATACAAGTATTCAACTAAATCTGATAATCCAAAGTAAGCAGCTTATTACCAAAAACACATGGAATGGGTTACTCTGATGTCATTGTGTTTGATTACATCATGAAGTGATGTTTCATGAACACAACAGTGTTCAAGTTTGTCAAGTGTTCAAGTTACAGGGTGCCATATCTTGATGTGGCAAGATAGAATTTGTGTAAAAATAGACTGGACTAGATTTATTGATTCTTTAATGAATAAGCAACTTATCACCAGCTACAAAAATAAATTTTACAGCTTCAGTTCTACAAGTATTGCAGAGAAAAAATCCAATGGCCACAGGTTCAACCGTTTCCAACCATTTATGTTGATAGCTTATTTTAGCTGCTGCTAATGTCATCTGTCCAGAAGAAATGGTTCAGACTCAACCACCGTCAACAAGCAAAGCCAAGTTTGTTCCCTAAGCTAACCGGTTTTTTTTGTCCTCTTCCGATAGTAGTCCATAACAAGCTGGTGAAGCGAGGGCACTTCTCCCTGACCATCGTTAAGTAACCGCAATTCAAGACAGCCAGCCATGAGGTGTCGGAGAAGTGTCTCAAGACGAGAATGCGACTGATCTTTGTCATTTGGACTTGTAGATAAAATTGCTGCATTCACTGCGTCTGCTACTACTTCTCTTTGAGACTCTGCTAGGAAATATCCTACATTCGATTCTTCGGGGCGTTCATAGACAAGCAGGGCAAAGCAGTCCTGAAATAGATATAACAAGTCACTCAATATCTGACTTTGAAACCCGTAAATATCGATAAAATCTCCAATCCATCACAAAGGCTTAAGGTTGCAGAAGCATCAGTACCTCTACGATGTCTTGGAATGCAGTCACACCAACAAATTTCGCTAACTCCGTTCTTCCATATTTCACAGCTTCTTCTAGTGCTCCAATCTAAGTATCACACATATTTCAAGAGTATTTACTTAGAGAGAGACAGACAGTTTAACCGTGGTGGATGTGTAATTTATATATAAGGAGCGAAGAGCATACCCGTATCAATTCAATGAACTTTTGACAGTGAAGGAGAAAGCATACTTCTGACTTATCGTTCTGCAGATGATACAATTGGCGTAAGAGTTCATATTTCAATGTAACAATATGACTTATTACTCAATCTACCTGTACAAGTTGGGGATAGCAATCCCGAAGTTTAGCAAGAGCAGCATCAATCTCACCCTTCCCTATAAGCTTTACCAACCAAAGTATGGATCAGTTCAATACTAGCTAAAGAGATGTAACAGTAAAGATTTTTTTCTTTTAATTGGAGTAAAAAGCCGCAAGACTGATCAATGATACCTGTCTAAGAACTCTCCTTTCATGCAGTGCATAGGATGTACCTTGCACATCAATATTATCTTCTTCAGCTGCATTGATAGGAGAAACTATGCTCTTAGTAGCCAAGTCAAAAGCATGGAGAGTATCCTTATACCCATAGTGAAGCAAGTAGTTCTTCACAAGCCTAATGACCAAAGATGAAACTTTTAGCTACGCGGATAGATTATCACCAATCTAACAACACAAATGAAGAAACAAAGCTGCACCTCAATTACTACAGTAAACAAGTGCACTCACCCATAACTAACGTCTGGAGGTATGGGCATCATTTCAAATTCTGTATGTTGCTTATTCCTCTCCGATGCTTCATATCCCTAACACAACATAAAAAAGGGTAACAGCTGAATTAAACAATTACGCAAACACAAATCTAATCCATATTTTAAACACATATCTAATCTATACCTCAACTTTTTTAAGAGACTGCATCACTCAAGCTAAGAGCTAGCAACTCTATGCAAAAAAAGTTCTGCGGATCTTCTTACCTTTATATCGAAAGCAAACTTCTCTTGCCCAAAATTGACAGTAACCCTACCAAGATTCAGAACGTAAATGTAAAGCACATGCAAGAAACTGAGATAATTTACGGTATTAACAAACGAAGATAAGAATAAGAGCATACTCCTCGTTTTGGCTATGCACAGCTACAGTAGGAAATAGAGGACCCTTGATGTACTTGGAGACATACCCTACGAGAGATCCGTTTACCCTGGCATCAAGTAAACGCGGATAGGTCAAACTAGCAACATGAAATAAATCGGAACTAGATCTATTGATAGCAAAACAGTTCTAACATACGTGAAAAAGAATTCCTGCAAATCATAGTTTATACCGCCACCGACTGTATCACCGGTTGTATAAGTCGGACCAAAAGCTTCACCTTGTCTCTTTCCAAGATATATTTGTCCATCCTCACCATGATAGCCACAAGTGTTGACTTCCCATCTAGCCATTACAGAAGAAATACTCAGCAACAATAATATAGATCATACCTTCTTGCATAACATATTCCAAAATTTCAGATTGACCTGAACCTAGTTAAACCTAAACATAACTCACGCGATCGTATCTTTCTGAACCTAATCTAAATAGAACTAACACGATTGAAACTCAATTGAACCAAATATCAGATTGCCTTCAACCTAATCTAAGCATAATCTATTCTCAGAAGCACACTTGAATTGAACACTAAATCAAATTACTTTATCAGAGAATCGACGAGTCTACATGTTAATCTAAACACAAATTTGAAAATGAAAATCAACAGCACTGAGGCTGTCGTGCAATTCTGAATTTATCCAATTTAGTGACTCATATGATCATACATATGATTAAAATTCAGATTTTCCTGATTCTAATCAAATCTAAACAAAACTAACATGACTGAAACATTTTGCTGAACCTAATCAAATCTAAACAAAACTAACACAACTGAACAAACTTCAGACAAAACTAACACAACTGAACAAACTTCAGATTGTCCTGAACCTAATAAAACCTAAACAAAACTCACAAAACTGAATAAAACATGAGCTATTTCAGAACCTAATCAAATCTAAACAAAACTCACACGATAGAAACCAAAAACTTCAGATTGACCTGAACATAATAAAATCACACACACGATTGACTTTGTCCTGAACCTAATCAAGCCTAAACAAATCTCACACAACTGAACCAAATATTAAATTTTCCATACCCTAATCAAATCTAAACAAAACTCAAACGATACATACCAAAATTTCAGATTGTCCTGAATCTAATCAAATCTAAACAAAACTAATACAAATGAACAAAACTCAGATTGTCCTGAAACCAACTCAACTCAAACTATAACTCACACAATTCAACCAAACTTCAGGTTTTCCTGAACCTAATCAAATCTAAACAAAACTCACACAATTGAATAAAAAATGAGACTTTTCAGAACCTAATCAAATCAAACTCAAACGATAGAAACCAAAATTTCTGATTGTCCTGAACTTAATCAAAACTCACAAAATTGAACCAAATATTAAATTTTTTCATACCCTAATCAAATCTAAACCAAACTCACACCATAGAAACCAAAATTTCAGATTGCCCTAAACCTAATCAAATCATAAATCACCCAAACTTCTCAAAAACCATTACAAAACAGCTAAAAAACACACAGTTAAATCCAACACAACATCTGCAATAACATAAAAAACACAATTACCCAGGCTGTCTCGCGATCCTGAAACTATCAGTAGTGAAACCAATCGCGACACGTCCTTTAACACCAGCATCTTTAACATAAATCTCGAAATAGTAAGCGAGACGTTTACACGGTGCAGGCTTATTAGCTTGAACAACGCCGACGTCGTGACCGTGTTGGGACACGCCATTGTATTTGAGAGAAAGCTTATCTGGTGAGATCACTACAAAACCGCTTAAACCGTTGATCGTGTTTAGCTCTGTTGGTGATTCTTCTGTTTCTTCATCGTCTTCCATTGTGATTGGTTTAGAAGAGTGACGAAATTTGTGGATGAAGTTATTAGAGTTGTTCATTCAAATCACAGAGAAGAAGAAGATGAAGAAGATACGGTAAACCCTAGAATTTTGGATTTGTTGGTTATAGAAAAACAAAATTGTTCAACAAATTTTTTCTTTTAATTGTCAAAAAAATAAATATATTTGTTGCACGCAACTTTTTTTTTTTTAAATGATGTTGTTTTACGAGTTCAATCATTTCGGTTTGGTATTAATTCGGTTTTTTCAAAATTCGGATTTATAAATAATAATAATATTTGTCGACAAAAGATAATAATAATAAATTTACCACAATTTTTATTGTGGTTTTGGAATTTCGGAGCCTAATTACGAATATATTTTTTTGGCTTTGGGTTTACTAATTCTTTTATACAAAAAATAGGTTTTATATAGTCTTGGGCACGAAGCGAATATTCGGAAAATTTATGATATTTGTGATTTGTTTCGATTCGACCGAATAGTTGATTTTGCTATGAATAATTTACAGTTTTAAAAGGTTGTTTTTCGTTTTGTGTATTTAAGTTTTTGGTTGAGGGTGTAAATTGATTTTTTTTTCATTTTCTATTAATAAAAATATAAAATGGTGTAATACGGTATATAATTTTATATAAAATTTAATATATCTTGTCAACATTGTTAAACTTATCAAAAAGATTTTTAAAATATATTAATTTTAGTATGTTTAATTATATATGTTTGAAAAAATCAAATAACAGTATTTTTAATTTTTTAAGCTAAGATTTTTATAGTTGTTTAGAAAAATATTAAGTTAAACTATTTCTATTTGTTTCAAATTAAAATATTTAAAAAGTTTATTGTAGTATAGACGGTAAAATATACATTTTATTTAAATAGAGTTATAAACTTTATATGGTCTCTTTGGAGTCTCTGCTCTGTAGTTATTGGGCTGTGTATTGATTGGGCCGGCCCAACAAGCCCATTTAAAAATTAGGGTTTTCATATTCCATAAAACGTCTCTTAGGTTAAGATCCACCCGAGGGTTCTTCTTCCTTTCTTGCATCAAAAAAAGCAATCCGCCGCAAGCTTCGTTCGTCTCCTCTCCCAGGTTTCTTGACTTAATCCCAACTTTGAACATGGCGTATCAAGCAATGAAGCCCGGAAAGGCTGGTTTGGAAGAGCCACTTGAGCAAATTCATAAGATCAGGATCACTCTCTCCTCCAAGAATGTCAAGAACTTGGAGAAAGGTCTTATCTTTTTTTCACAATATAAGCTGTTTCATTTCAGTAAAGTTCAAACTAGTTTTAGGGTACTTAGAGAATTTTGAAAGTTTAGTTTTTTCACTTAGAAATGTGCCAATGTCTTTAGTATTTGAACCATTGCAAAAAAGGTTGTTCCTTTCTGATTTAATTATTCAGTATTGAAAGTTCAAACTAGTTTTATGGTACTTAGAGAATTTTGAAAGTTTAGTTTTTTCACTTAGAAATGTGCCAATGTCTTTAGTATTTGAACCATTGCAAAAAAGGTTGTTCCTTTTTGATTTGATAATTCGTGTCAAATACTGAATCTTCTTGGTTGAAATGTGATAGTGTGCACTGATTTGGTTCGTGGAGCTAAGGACAAGAGACTGAGAGTTAAAGGACCAGTGAGGATGCCTACCAAGGTTCTTAAGATCACTACCCGTAAAGCTCCTTGTGGTGAAGGTATTGTAACATTTGCCTCAACATTTTGTTTCTTCGCCAACATTAGGACCTTGAGTTTTAGTTTTGGAACTACTCCTTTTGATTTCTTGGAACAAAAGACATGTTCTTGCACTAAAAGATTTGGCTTTATAATACCATGTAATTGTGCTTAATTCTGTTTTCTACTCTTGTCTCAAGAATTTAGGACTTATAACATGTAATTGTGCTCAATTCTGTTTACTACTCTTGTCTCAAGAATTTAGGACTTATAACATGTAATTGTGCTCAGTTCTGTTTACTACTCTTGTCTCAAGAATTTGTAACATGTGATTGCGCTCATTACTGTTTTCTACTCTTGTCACTCCAATTGTCTTTGACATTGGTTGAGATTCTTAACGGTTGGTTTTTGTAACAGGAACCAATACATGGGACAGATTTGAGCTTAGGGTTCACAAGCGAGTGATTGATCTCTTCAGCTCTCCTGATGTTGTCAAGCAAATCACTTCCATCACTATTGAACCTGGTGTTGAGGTTGAGGTTACCATTGCCGACTCTTAGATCACAGACCCTTCTGTTTTTTGTGCTTCTTTCAAATTCTCTTTCATGAAACTATCTCTTTCCTCTGGTTCTTAACTACACTTAAGAGTTGGATAAACAAATGTTTTGCTGTAGTGGAAACCTAAGTTCTTGTTTTTTTCTTTGTTGAATAGAGTTTTGAAGATTTTGATATTACAATTACTTGCTCTCCTCGCAAATTAAGATCCTTGGACCTTTCTGATTCTATCATACTCCATTAAGAAGACAACTATGTTTTCGAGTACACTTGTCAACAGTCTCCACGGTCTCACTTCCATGAACCATCTCTCCAGCATCCTCAAACCTCTGTTTCTTAACCTCCATTGGAATGACCAATTACACTTGTTGGACTATGAGATATTTGCCATTCTGCATCTTCATCTGCTAAAGAACACATTTAAGACATCACATTGTTTACATACCATTCAAGATGAATACATTGAATTCACTCTCGTTCGTATCAAATCATTACCTCCTCCACGTACATGTACATCCATCTGACCAGCACTGAACTCCCAATTATGTCCGCTTTCTTCTTCTGAAAGATGCAATGAGACAAAAACAGTTAAAAAATTGCATTACAAATAATAGTAGTAAAGCTTCAGTGATCAGAAATAACAAGCCTTGTCTCTCTGATCTTTGACAAGTCCAAAACTTCAGTGATCAGAGCCATCATCTTCATCTTCTTCAACCTCAATCTTCAAAAAATAAAGCCATAAACTTAGAAATCCATTATTTATTTTTCTTGTTCGGCTCAGTTTGGACATTGATCAAGTGCATTCATGGTTTAATATGGTAACTAGTTTAACATGATAATTATTCATTTAGAATAATAATATATGAGTTTAGTACAATACTATAATTGTTAACACGATAATCGAATAGTTATCAGCTAGCAATGATGTTAACATTTTCAATAAGTTTATTCTTATTGTGATAACTTTGTTGTTTAAACATTTTTAGTATGTTATGACTTCCACGGCTGCCTTCATGGAATCTTCCAAAACACCTTATGACCAAATTGAATTTGGTTAGCTGATTAACTTTTGTTTTATTTTGATAACATTCTTAACATACTAACCAATGAGTTAACTCTTCCAAGCTTTCGGTTATTTGCTAACAACTATGTTTATTTTTTTCAGTTAATTTATTTCTTACCTTGCTAAATTTGATGTGTTAAATCTTTTAACATATTCAGATATCTGAGCATATAAATTTAGATATCTTAGGACACAAAAACCCATCTAGTTTGTTAGGATCAGTTTAGTCATTTTTATATTATGTGAGGAGAGAGAACTAAATACTTAATAATGGAAGGTACAAATTTAATTTTTGGTTCAATCATATATATATTAATACCACTCAATGAAAAATTCCAAATAAATTCACTGAATGAACATATCATTGTCAACAACGACTCTTCTCTTCAATTTGTTATGTAATTTTAGTTATCTAACATATTCATTAAGTAGTTGGCGGCTGATAAAAAAAAATTAAAGCATTCACTAATTAAGAGATGTTTTTATTCCTTTTGATAGAAAAAAAAAAGAGATTGTCTTATTCAATAAAAGAATTATTTTGTGTCTCCTCCTAAAGATGTGTACAAATTTTGTGTAAACTCAAGTCTTTGCGAAAAGAAAAAAAAAATTTATGTCCAGAAATTACTAGGATGTGGAATGTTTGGTTTAAGGATGTTGGGATTTAAAATGTTTATGAAGAAGGTAATCTAAACCATGCAAAAGAACTTCTTTAACTAAAATGTGATCCGTTAGATCTTCTTTGTCTCCTGTGGATTTGGATTTTTTAGAGAATTGATTATAAAAGCAATTACCACACCATTCACTTCAGGTAAGATCCAATTTTACTTTATATCCAAGAATTTTCAACAGAGGAAAATGAACTTTCATGTAAGATATATTTTTTGAAGAATATTTAAAATAATATTTATATTATTTTGTTATTCATAATCGTGATTTAAAATTTATATATTTGTATTTTAGAATTATTCTTTACAGAATTTATATAATGTTCTTGTAAATTAAGAACTTATTTTTGTAGTATTTTAAAATTTATATAGCATATTTTTTAAACTACTTATAAATGATGATATTTATTAGTGAGCATTATCTTTTGTTCTGGTATGGAAAAAAATCGGATCATATGTGATACTATATTAAGATATGTATCATATCATAAACAAATCTATTTTGTTTACCCGTTTTGATATTTTTAATGATTTTATCTTTATTAACGTAGTTTAAGGTAAGTTATAATCTTAACCATTCATTAAAGAAACTGGATCGACGATTGAGATTTATCTAAAATATCTGAGAATTAATTATTTTTATATTTTATCATTTTAATTTAAATATCTAAAATATATGTGCTTCAAAATACTTTGAGTCATCTCCAAGAGCGTTTGTTTACGTCTATCGACTGCTACGCTTGTGCTGAGGATATATATACTAGTTAAATACATCGCTATAACCACTTGAATTTTTGTGGCTGTAGTAAAAATTTTTTCTATAGACACGTTTTTACAAGACTATTTATTTATTTGCAATCTCTTATATATTACTAGATAAGGACCCGTGTAAAAACACGGATATTTATGTTTTCACATATGAATTAAAATTAGAGATTGCCTATGTTAAAATTTGGAAAATCATAACATTAAAAGAAATTTAATCAATATTAATTGAATATCATATTTTCTAATATATATTAGGGCCCGTCTAATAGACAGGTTATTTATTTTCAAAATAAGATTAAAATTAAAATTTTATTGTAACAATGTTATATCCAAAGTAATAAAAAAAAGGTAATTTTTTAAGTTAGTCAATTTCTTTTTGTTGAACAAAATTATTTATGTATCATACATATTTAAAAATCGTTATTAAACATTCATTATAAAAATCTAGTAATGTTAAATTATTGATCACCAAAAAATTTGTGAGCTATTCACCATTTTAATAATATTACAATTACTAATTTTTTCAGAAAACTTAATTTATATGTTATACCCTAAACATGATTATACCATTATCCTAAAACCTGTTATTTCCTAATTTCCAGTTTTTTAAAAAACTATTCTCGCATATTTTTTTACTTTGGAATTTATTTTATTTCTTAAACTTAATTAATTATGACAAAATTTGATTGTAAATTTCTTATAAATTTATTAATCCAAAAAAAATAAGTTATAGTGTCCTTGAGATATGCATTAAGAATTGTTTTTAAATATGAAAGTATACAAAATTACATATTTGAAAAAAAATATTTTAGAAATTATTATACTACGAGTTATAGTGACTTTTTAATCCTTATTTTAAGTTAATAATGTCTCTTTTTAAGTTCCATTTTATTCACCCCTTTTATTCGAGCCAATGAGATTGCACTATGACATATTACATTTAAATATAAGCTAAAAATTATAAAATTATAACATATTAAAAAAAAAGTAAAAATAGTTTTTTTTGGACAACAAATTTTTCATTCAAATCAAACGATTAGATATGGGATAGGCGCGATCGGACAAAACCGATGTGCTAGAAAACTAGCAATTGAAAATTTTCCTACAAATTCCAAGCAAACAGCACAAAAGCAATAGAAAAAGGGATAGACAAGAGCAATCCTAACACTCTGGCAAATAACATTGTCGTAGAGTCATTTATTAAAAACATTTAACTTTGTATAAATTGTAAAAACATTTAATAAACACATTTATTTTGTTAAACCCATAATCTCGTTTAATTGTACCATCTAAATCTTAATTCTCTTTTATAAATTGAAACAAATAAATTAATTTGTATAAACTGTGTAATCTAAACTCTACTCTTTATTTATAAACCTAAATCGACATAAAACCTTGTTAAATTGTAAAATCTAAACCACAATCCTCATTTATAAATCCAGGCAACCATATAACATGTTTAGTTGTAAAAACTAAATTTTAACCCATCATTATAAACTAAAATCAACATATAATCTCGTTTAATTGTCAATATTAAACTCTATCTCTTTGATAAACTCAAACCAACATAACCAAAAATTAGGTTTAATAATTTAATTATAAGTAAGAAATTCTGAATATATTTTTTGTTTTTGTAATTTCTATTTTTATCTTATTTTTTTTACAAAATTAGATGTATGACATTACGGCATTTAATGTTTTACTTGACATATATCACAATCATGTGAGTTAGTAACTCGGAAAACCAAGTTTTACATAATAATAATTTTTGAATTAACATTAAAAAATCCATTATAATTAGGTATATTTTTATATGTATTACCTATATATGTAGAATTTTTTATGATAGGTTTATAAATTTAATTTTAAAATATTTAATATATCTTAAATTAAAACACATGTGAATTTCTTATCGATACAATTGATACAATTGACACATGTCACATTAATGACTAACTTATATTCTAAAAAATATTTAAATATTACATAATATTCGTGATAATGCAAATATTTTCAAAAATTAATTTATAGTTGACTAACTGATTGTATTTTTTTCTTTAACCTAATTTTATTAATAATGTTATTTTTATAATTACTATCCATTTTTCTTTAAGATTACTACTAAGTACTAAGTAACTGTTAAATTTCCTGAATTTTTATTTTCTTATTTCTATTTTGAAAATATTTTTTTCTAAAAACTAATTTATATAATTTCTAATCACTAATTATCTGACACGTGTCAACATCTTATCAATTCAATTAACACGTGTCACGATCTTGTTAATTACTAATTTTGAAAACCCAACTTTATATAAGAAGACTAGTTATAGTAGACTTTTATTGTTATAAGTTCATTCATCAGTATATATTTCATCATGGAGTACTTAATGCATATTATAACCCTCACAATATCGCTGAAAACGTATTCAAAATGTTCAAATTTGGTTAATTCATATATGCTATATATAACCTTATAAGTGTTATTAATCTTCCTTCTACATATGCATATACACAAAGATCCTCACCTAGTAAGAAGGATCTTTGAAAACAATCACAAACACTATACAACAAACAGCGAATAATATGATGAAAATATCAAACGTGAGAGCAGTCATTGCTTGATCACTAAGGTCCATGTTCTTCCCACCTAACCTGTCTACCATATCAGGTATTGATTCATAACTCCTAAACTCTTGCTCTTTTGGATCCTCAAGCTTCATTCTCATCTTCTCAGCTTGACGACTCGCTACTTCTTGAGCCAATGTCCAGTCATAGAACCTACGTGTCTCCTCATCGCTCAGAACATCGTAGACTTCTCTTAGTTTCATGAACTTGTCTGAAGCTGTTTTAAGTGGTAATGAAGTTGTGTCTGGATGATACTCTTTTGATAATCTCCTGTAGGCTGATTTGATCTCTTCTAAGTCAGCATCTGATGAGACACCTAAGAATCTGAAAGTGATTATAAAAATTACAAATTATGAATTAGAGAATAAAGCAAAGGCATGTTGTAGTAATTAATGAGATTCTTTAGTTTTTGCTTAACTGGTAATGAGAATCAAAAGAGTCTTTGATTAGTTCAGCAAACTTTTCATCACTGAAGAGATTGGTTTTGTCATCTTCAACTGATTTAGTCGAGTTTGATCCTCCTCCGATCCAGCCTTCGTCCGGGCTTTCCCAATGGATTCTTGTGTCTACTCCGGGAGACGGTTTTGGCGGTTTTTTCGGGCCTTGTGACGCGTAAATACGCGTCACTCTTCTTGATGTTATCTTTCTAAATGCTCTAGGTTCGTCTCTGAACTTTGTGGTGTTATGGATTTTGGGTAAGAGAATAGTACAAGACGTTCGAGCATAAGTGGAAGTTGTAGAAGCCATGGATTTGTGTTGAAGATGGTTTGTTCTTTCTTTTCTTCTTCATGTTTTTTTGGTTTCTGTTACGCCTCAGAGACTTGTCTTACGGCCTCATGATATGTGTGGTCTGAAATTTCTTTTATATCTTTATTGTCTTCTAGTATCCAATAGTAACAAACTACCAAACAAAAAAGAACATTGTCTCTGTTTGATCTTTATGTAAATTTGTACTATAATCTTAAACATTCAAATAACAATCCATTAAACCATAGTAACCATTAAAATCATAGTCCCATGACCATGATTAGTACTGTTCTATCTAGGCATGGGATTAAAAACCGAACCGAAATAACCGAACCGATATTAGAGCAAATGTTTGGACTTCACTCCTCAAAAGGCCACCTCTTCACTCTTATGTTCTTCACCTAAAAGCCCATCTCTAAACCCAATTTTGATAAAAATCAGAGTTGGTCACTGAGTTGAACTTGGAATCAACTTGAATTTACTCACCATTTGTTTCGACATGACCAGTTTTGATCATGCTCTTTTATACTTCAACTTTGATTGTAGATGTTTTGAAGTAGACCATTTTTACCTCCATTATAAACACCATGAGTTCCAAAACAATTATTTTTAATGTAAGCCTCTCTAATAAATAATTGATCGAGTAACGCTTGAGACGAAACTATATAAGATGCTTTGGTCTCGGACCTGAGGGGATGTATGAGTTTCGGTCCAGAACCTCTTTGATTATTCAAAAAAAAAAAAAACAATTGAATTTGTAAATGTTAATATTTACAAATGGACCAAATTTTGTTTGGCATCTATAATAATACATGTTAAAAATGGTGTTAAAACTTTTGCTCATTTTTTCAAGTCATCAGAAGTCCTTTACTCCAACCACAAAAATCCCACCTACTCACAACCAACATAACTAATTTTGTTTTCGTTTGTTTTGGGTCACAAACTAATTTTGTTAAGCTAATAAAACATCAAAGCCATAAATCTACAACCATCTTGTAATCAAGATCACAACTCATAACCTATAGCCATAATCTAAAACAATCAACTCCCAAAGTAAAATATATTTGTACTTTCTCTTTTGTATAATAAGGGCACATTCAAACAAATTCAAGTAAACTTTTCAATCGCTATATTTTTCTTTGTATTTGTCTCAACTCCCAACTAAAATTATAAATAGAGAAAGAGAACAAAAAAAAACAAAAAGCAAAATCTAAGGAAATTTTTAAAATAAAAGTATAGAGGAGACAAGAAAAAAGAAAAGAAGAAGTTTACTTACTTACCTACCTAATCTCCCACACACAACACAGCAAAGCACAGCCTCACTTTATCTCATATAGTCACATGTATGTACCAAACTTAGTCAAAGTCACATCCTTTTTTCTATATAACCCAAAACTCACACATCTTCTTGATCTCTTCCCTCTTCTCTTCTTTCATCATTCTCTTCACCATGGGAAGATCTCCTTGTTGCGAGAAAGCTCACACAAACAAAGGAGCTTGGACTAAAGAAGAAGACCAACGTCTCATCGATTATATTCGTAATCATGGTGAAGGTTGTTGGAGATCTCTTCCTAAATCTGCTGGATTGTTGCGTTGTGGTAAAAGTTGTAGATTGAGATGGATTAATTACCTTCGTCCTGATCTTAAACGTGGTAATTTTACTGATGATGAAGATCAAGTCATCATCAAACTCCATAGCTTACTCGGTAACAAGTATGAAACCTTTTCTCCTCTCTTTCTCTCTTTTCTTCTTTTATCTTTTCCCGGGAAAACAAATTTTAACTTTCTTGGAAACAGAGAGAAAATAGAAAACAGAGTACTTACTTCTCTTCTTCTTTTATCTTTCTTTCTCGGGGGAAAAATTTGAACTTTCCTGGAAATATAGAGAAGATATAAACTGGGTTTCCTTTATTTAATCATCTCTCTTCTTCTTTAACCTTCCTGGGAAAACAATTTCAACTTTCTAAGAAAGAGAGAGAAAATAGAAAACAGAGTACGTCTCTTCTTCTTTTATATCTCTTTCCTTGGGGAAAAATTTGAACTTTCCTGGAAACAGAGAGAAAATAGAAACTGGGTTTCCTTTATTTTCCTTATATCTCTTCTTATTTTAACTTTCACAGGGAAAAAAATTTCAACTCTCTAGGAAACAGAGAGAAAATAGAAAACAGAGTACTCTCTTCTTCTTTAATCTTTCCCGGGAAAAAAAATTGAACTTTCCAGGAAACAGAGAGAAAATAGAAACTGAGTTTCCTTTCTTTTCGTCATTTCTCGTCTTCTTTCAACTTTCCCAGGAAAAAAAATCTCAACTTTCTAGGAAACAGAGAGAAAATAAAAAAAACAGAGTCTGTGTATCCTCTGTTTTTGTTCTTCAGTTTCACTAAGTTTTGATTTTGTTTTTGTATCAGATGGTCATTGATCGCTGGAAGATTACCCGGAAGAACAGATAACGAAATCAAGAATTATTGGAACACTCATATCAAAAGAAAGCTTCTTAGTCATGGAATCGATCCACAAACTCATAGACCAATCAACGATACCAAAACGACGCCGTCTCAAATTGTTATTGTTGATCCGGTTCAAAACGACGCCGTTGAGTACTCTTTCTCCAACTTAGCCGTTAAACCGGAAAATTCCTCCGATAACGGAGCTTCAACCAGTGGCACGACGACTGACGAGGATCTCCGGCAGAACGGGGAGTGTTATTACAGTGATAATTCAGGACGTATAGAGATTAATTTGGATTTAACTCTCGGGTTTGGATCCGGGTCGGGTCGAGTAGTCGGAGCCGGGTCATCTGCTGATTCAAAGCCGTGGCGGGATCAGGTGATGGCGGCGCGTTTGTCACTGTTGTAAGAATTTTTACCAAACCGGTAAAACAAAAAAACCCAAAAAATTGGGTTTTTAGATTTTTTTTTTCTTTCTATTTTATATATTTGTGTGTATCGTTTTGGATAATTATAGAAATTATTTACTTCAGTTTATTTGATACTTTTTTTTTTTCATATGCATTTTTACCTTTTGAATTTAAATTATCAATGATTAGGAGTGAAATGTGAATATGGTTTTGGTCTTTTTGGATTCATATGGTTTCAACCGTTATCCATATTTACATGTAGATAAAGATAGATATTTTATTATTATTTTTTATGCAAAGGCTTCTAGAAAACTTGAGTTAGGTATTATAATGGGGACCATATTGTAGCAACTAGCAAGTTTACATACAACAAATATCTCAATTCACTATGTTAAATATGTATCTTTTTTTTCTTTTGATGATGACAAAAAAAAAATGTATTCCATAACTTTTTGGTGTTAATTAGTTTATTTCAGCAAAGTCTAAAATTCATTATAATTTGTATTTTGATAAAGGAAATTAATTACTTTTCAGATTTCTTAGACAATATTATATTCTTAGCTTTTCTTTTATGGAAAATTGTATCATATATGCTCAAAATATCTCTAGGCGTTAATCGGACAGTTGAGATAGGTCTAATAATTAATCTTAAATTTGGATTAGGTTTAGGATTTTTCGCTTTGTATTTCTTGTATATATGAATTATTTTAAAATTAATATGTAAAAATGAATTGACATAGTGAATATATCCAATTATTGTGTTTTTATTTATTTACAATTATAACAAAATCTCGACAGTCGAATACCGCCGAGCGCTTCACCGGCAAATAATCCTCCGTGGTGGAATTTTTTTTGAACAAGAATTGTATCTATTACTTTAGGTAATTTGATGTCAACTAAGATCAATTATATAAGGTACTATTATGGAGTATGGACATAAACAGGAAAAGGAATGTGAAAAAAGCAGATGATTAGAAGAGATATAAAAATAGATACACTAAATAAAGCATAATATATAAAAAGAAGAATAAGATAAGGAAGAAGACATGTGACATGTTTTAGGCAGGTAGGTGGCGGAATCTATCATTTTACAAACCATATTGTGTAAACCAAAAATAATTGACTTTACCTAATTTATAATATGATTATGATTGATATCTATTTGTATATATATATATATATCATATAATACTATAGTAACATTATCTGAAAACACATATATGGACATATCCGAGTCTCGATGAAGAACATTTATGAAGTATGGTTTTATGGGCAAAGCAAAATATTATCTCGTTAACGTGTTTTTGTCTCTAGACAATGTTTGGTCGAAGTCAGAAGAAAATGAAAAAGAAGAAGACAAGAATTGGTTTGGGAGACACTTATATGAAAAGAAAAGTATAAAAATTGTAAAGGAAACAAAAGAGAGAATCATGTGCGTAAGATGAGGAAGAAGGTATGGGAATGTGAGATTTTTAGGTGAGATCCAGCCAAACATGACTCCCTCCTTTCATGGAAATTATAAAAATGAATTTGTTGTCACTCTCAGTTTTATTTATAAAGAAATTTATTAAATTCTTTAACGACTTTTGAGTTTATTTTTAAGTTTTTATGTGGATTGATAATCAACTTTTTACATCTTCTAGATGAATCAACATTTTGTAGAATAAATATAATTATCTTAGTTAGAAGCAATGGGTACTGTTTAAGAGTTTTGACAATTTCCAATTTCCTCAAAATACTGCATTTTCATGTTTTTATTATTAAAGTATAACAAAAATTTTGGGTCTTAAGAAAATGTTAGAAATACGAAAACTTAATTTTCAATATTTTAAATGTTTAGGTTTTACTTAACTTTTTTAAAGTTAATATATATAGTTTTTACAAGATACAATTTAATATTTAAAGTTTAATTTTGAAGATAGAATTACGTACCTTTTTCGTATTAAAAATTAAAAATTAAGTTTTGTAGTAATTTTGAAACACCAAATTTTAAATGGTATTTAAATGTGGTATTTTGAAGATTCCCGCATAAAAATCAAAAAGTACCCCTTTCAAAATTTGAAAAATTATAAAGTTTGATATGTTTTATAAGGGCATCCACATCAGCGTATGCAGCCAGCGTCCCTCCCATATTTTTATTATAAAAAAAAAAAAAATAGAGAACGACGTCAGTTAAAATGGGACGGTCCTATCTCTTCTTTCTTCACAATTCGAGGGCCCCACTGACACGTGGTCGCCCGCGATTGGTTTTGATGTTGTTGTTTTTTTTTTCTTCTAAAAATTAGAAAAATATATATATGTTGAGGGACGATTTACCGATGTGCATGGTCTAAGGTATTTCTAAATAATGTTACTACTGAGACACTTGATTCAAATATTTAAAAGGTTTTAAATGGTTTTAACAAAGTTCTTAGAAGGTTTACAAGGTTGTTAAAAAGGTTTTTAATAAGCTTTTAAAAACTTTTTAAAGGTATTATATGGTATTTATAAAATTATATATATATATATATATATATATATATAATTTTAAACACATGTAAAGGTAATTTGTGTATATTTTTATAAGTTTACACATATATGTGAATAAATTTCAAAATCTGTTGGTTTTTTTATAATTGTTTAAAAAAGATATAGTTTTGAAAAGTGGTATTTCAAAATATTTTTAAAATTCCTCTTTTAATCAAACTAAAATTTGTATTTCTTGAAAATTAAATTATATTTGATACTCAAAAGTTTAAATTTGATGACTAAAAAGTACATACGTTGTTACTTACAAAAGACGGCCTTGTGGTATGGGAGCGTTACGTACGGTAGGCACATGTGGATAGATAACTAAATTGAGCTGTCGTTTAATTCTCAATTATTCAAATTTATAATCACATGCATTTTGTTATATCTTTATTAGTTTTCTTTTTTTCTTTCTTTAGGGTTTCATTGTAGAGATGACTCACATGCATGCATGACGTGCACACTTCCATACATGAAAACACATGATTTCCAATAATGTGTTAATTCATATGTAATCTTTCATTAAATATATATATCATATAATAATTGATTTTTAAAAAATTATATATTTTCATAAATTTTAAAATACCTAAGATCATCTCCGGTGTGTATTTCTATTTTTTAAATCTAAAAGAGAGCATTGTTTTCCTATTATTCTATTTTTTACTCTAAAACAAAGTTAGTGTAAAACAAAAGTAGAGAAAAGAGTAATTATATGATTTACTCTATTTTAGGGTAAGATATAGAATAGGGTTTGAGCAAATGTTATTCTATAATAAAGTTTTGACGACTCTAAAATACAGTGGAATTGGAGATGCCCTAATCGTAGTTAGTCATATTTTGCCTTCAATCTACTGTCATTTTCTCCTTTCTATAAATATTAATAAGTGTAATTACTTTTTTTTAACCCAACAAATAAGTTTAATTACTATTGTGATTAATATTAAAAAGAAATCTGTTTATATTTTGTATATACATTTTCCGCAAAATTTAAAACATACCTAATTATTTATCACATTAATCAATTAAATTTTTAGTTCTCATCTTTTAAGGTTATTTATGGTTTCAATCTAGCTCTTAACTCTGTTATATTTATCATCGTTATCTTTAAATGAGTGTATATTTAGATGGAAAAAGAATGATCAGTTCGGATAACAAAATGAAGAATATGGCACTATAAATTTGTTTTTAAATTTTTATTTAAATGAACAAAAATGCTTATAGCCTATGGGAAACAACATATAAGAACATGTACATTATCTTAATTGATTATGGCATACTATACCAAACATTAAAAAGAGAAAATTATCCAAATTGGACGAGAGAGTTGATGTCAAAGAGCTCACATGTTGGAAGCTTCAAATAGCAGTAGACGTCTCTATAGTCTTAAAACTGTAGAAACTCTATTCCCTCGCACTCATTATTTAGGAATTGTGTGCCTTCCTAAAAAAGATTAGACGGTAGTAGCTGATATGTAATAGCCTCGAGGATAGGTCACAAGGCTGCCAAGATGAATCTCTCTCCTCCTCGTCAGTATCTCAAGCCTACTTTCATTAACCCATTCCACCCTCCACACTTCCACTTTGATAAATTTGAGCATTTTCACAGAGAGAGAGAGAGAGCTTTAGAGAGAGAGAGCTTTAGAGAGAGAGAGAGAGAGAGAGAGAGAGAGAGAGAGAGAGAGAGAGAGAGAGAGAGAGAGAGAGAGAGAGAGAGAGAGAGAGAGAGAGAGAGAGAGAGAGAGAGAGAGAGAGAGAGAGAGAGAGAGAGAGAGAGAGAGAGAGAGAGAGAGAGAGAGAGAGAGAGAGAGAGAGAGAGAGAGAGAGAGAGAGAGAGAGAGAGAGA